TGAACTGGAGTGTCGCGTTTTTAAGAGTGTAAGCTTCCGCAGCCGGAGTCAGTAGCTTCTTGGCTGTTCGGGAGACGCCGCGTTCTAGACACAGGTGCAAACATTTCGGCCGCCATTCTGCGACCTGCCTCAGGGCGATTTGCCCTGCCCTGCCCTGAAATGTTCTGCGATATTCCTCAGGGCAAATCGCTCCCAAAGTATTGTTCATGTTGTTCGAGAAAATAGGCTAAACAGCTTAGACGCTAGCGTTGACTACAGACAGACGGACAGACACGTCAAACGTTTTTTAGGTATCAAGGACCCACAAAACATGGATTCCGACTACACTACTTTTAAGGAAGTAATTTACATATATAGAAACAGGATTTATCTACTTTTTCTTTACCAGGGCTCAGCAATAAGAGGTTTTTCGGCTGAAAATTCTCCGTTTTCCGACGCACGTACACATAACTTCCACTTCTTACGAAGAAAGTGCGAAAAGGTGAACTAATGATGCTCAAATTTGCACAGAATTTCTCGTACCAGTTCTCTAATTTCTTTGGTCTTGGCTACCTTTTCCGTTCCGCCCTCTTCCTGGCTAACATCTATCGCCGCCCAAAGAATTTGTTTGTTTTTTTAATTTTCTATTCTTTTGTTTCTTAATGATAGACCTGATATATGACTTCAAAAATATTTTGGAAGAGTAACACCTTGCCTTGTATGACAGTTTTCGTTAAAAGATTGAGAGATAAAGTCGTTTTTTAGATAATGTTATAACTTTTCTGTGAATGCGAAATTTGAAACTCTTTCTTTCTGAATGCGAAATTGGAAAACAATGGAGTTTTGGAAAAACTTAATTGGAAACTGTTTAAAAAATTGTTATTTAAAACGCATTAATGTGTACAAATCTCTGGTAATATAAATGTTAACAGCGTAAGAGAAAAATAAAAGCAACTACATTTGTGTATTTCTTGAAAAAGCACAATTTAGCACGATAATTTTAAAACTTTTTTTAAAAGTTGGAGCCGTTTTCAAGAAAATGTTATTTGAGCTTTTTTGAAAATGCGTAATTTTGAGCACATTTTAACAGAAAACATTTGAACTTCCTAGAAACATTATTAGACATTTGAAGCACACATACTCATAAATGCAATAATGTTAACAAATCGCCACCAATGTAAATATTACCATCCTTGTGAGGGGGATGTCAAAAAAATTACAAATGTGTATTTTTTTAAAACCAAAAGAATACAGCGAAGCGGCATCTATGACAACTGTTGGGGTACTTTTAGCACTATCCCTACTAAAATTTAAAAAATTGGAGCCGTTTTCGAGTATTTTTTCTGTTTGATATTACACTTATTTCACGCAATATTGTATGAAAACCACCAATTGTTTTTAAAAAATGTGCTTCACCTTAATGAAAGTACTAATTGGGAATATTATAGAAGAGTAAACCCTCGTCGTATAAGGAAATTTTCGTTGAAAAATTTGAAGCCCTTTTAAGAAAATGTCGTTCAAGCATTACTGTAAATGCAAAATTTGAGGCCCTTTTTCACATATACTTTTGAGTTTTTGAAGAATTGTATTAGACGTCATTTGAAGTACTTCACACATGCAATAAAGTATACAAATCACCAGAAATTTGCATATTAACGGCGTGAGAGAAATTTTGGAAAACATTAAAAAACATTTTTTTAAACATAAGGAGACAGCATAATGACTTTTATGTCATCTCATCTTATACAGTGTGTTTAGCTTCATCTGTACAAAAAGTGTTTTAAAAAGTTTGGAGCCGTTTTCAACAAAATTGAGAATTTTTGCGTTTGAGCGTTCCTGAAAATGTGGAATTTTGAGCTAATTTTCACAGAAAACGTCTGAGTTTTCGAGAAATGTTATAAGACATCATTTGAAGCACATTTACTCATAAATGCTATATCTCATTATTATAAATTTATTATTAGTAACTAATATATTATTAATTATAGTATATTATTAACTAATAAATCTGTACTAATCGCCGGTAATGTAAATAAGAACGACACGAGAAAGATGTCAACATTATTAAAATAGTGTAAATTTTGAAAAAAAAACACCCAAAACAATAGAACAAAATGGTATTCATGTCGTTTCATACAGTAACACTATTTCTGCCAAAAGTAAAAAGAAAAATTTGTAGCCGTTTTGAAAAAATATTTTTTTGTGGTTTTTAATATTGCCCAAATTCCACTCAAATTTGCACGAAAACGACTACAATTTTGTTTTTAAATTACGTCAATGTAAGTACTAATGTAGTGGACAAATTTTATTTGAAGCTCTATTTCAAATATTGTATTTCTAAGACGCTGAAAGAATTTAAACTTTTGCAATTTTCGAAAATTGAGAATTAACAGTGACAATCTGACCTACGACACCTTTATAAGTGTATTTTACTTTTATTGGCAATTTAAAGAAAAAATTGAGCAATTTTTGAGAAACTTCTGAAAATGTCCCAGGGGCATCAAGTAAAGTACCCCAAAATTAAAGAATGTTATTCAAAATCGCAGAGCTTCGAGTAAGGCCAGATCGGCAGGAGAGTATTTAGTTTGGAAAAAATTCAACGCATATTAATTAGATCGCTGGTGAGGTAGATACTTTCTAATTATTAAATATGGTAAATTAAAGATGTTGTCTGGTATCAAAAAATATATTTCGATCTAAACCATCTTTAGCAAAATATATTTTTTGATACCAGACATCTTTAATTTACCGTACTCAACGCATGATATTTAGTCGCTAGTGTTGTTTAGACGGACAGTGTCAGATGAATCGACGTTTTGAAAAAAGAAGAAAAGAAAAAAACACTTTTTTTCTAAATCAGGGGACCCCAAAACGTGTATTTCCATTGGAATATCGAAATCAATTTTTCGCAGCGACCCTTAACTTTCTCTACACTACTTATATTCCTCTGTATATTCATACGTATCCGAGAGAGTAACAATTAGGGAAACCTTTGTTGAAAGTTTTTATGGATTTAATATCGTCTAAAATAGTAACCACTTGGTTCTTTAAATAGACACCCATTTCATTGATCGATCGATTGATTATGTTTCCGGCGTGTCAACTGCCAAGACCATTAGTCCCGTAAGTGTCGTGAATATTTTGTCGTGGGAGGGGGCGATGATCCCCCGCTGATGAGATTGGGCACCGATTTACACGTCAGCTTGCGAGGTTTTCCTCAACCAGTTATCTCCCACCAGCGGGGCACCGCCCAGTCTGGTCTCCCGGCATGTGCAGTAGTTTAGTGCATGTAAGTAAAACAATATTGTGGTTGTGGTAAGTGTGTTTGTAAGTAACGGGTGAGGTTAAGACAAGGAAGGGGAAGAAGGATCGCGCGCGGTCCGCGTTCCGATTGTTAGCGTACTGTTCCGGAATTCGCCTGGTTTTGATTGGAGAAACCACGGAAAACTACCGATCAGAGCAACCGGCCACTTGTATTCTCCTCCAGACATCGGCTGAAGTCGTCGTAGCTATTTGGCTAGTGCTGAAAATCCTGCAAACCGTCAGGGCTCGAACTCTGGGACCTCCCGATCAGAGGTACTGCTGTGACATCAATAATGCCATAAGCCAAGACGTTTACTTCATGATTGCATGCCGAATTTTCGACAGGAGAGTGTGTGTTTCTTGATAAAATGACAGTCGTCTTCGAATTGTGAATAAATAAGCATGGTACAAAGGTAACAAACAAATGTTTCATTTGTTAAAAATTTGCTTTTCCTCGAGTTGACGTTTGCTCATTTGTTAAGTCCAAATTTCATGTAGATGTCATTGCGAGATTCATTTTCCACATGCATCGCTTCAATCCTGACATAATTTAATATCATCCATGTAAAACAAAAGTCGAGAATTCGTGGTGTCTCAGAATGTGACATATCACAAAGTGTCCTGTGCCTGACTTTTAATTTTGAAAAATATATCAACTTGCAAAATTGAAAAAGGAAAGGGGTGATAAAATATAATTTCTTTATTAACGTTTAAATAAAAATATAAGTGATGGGCTTGATTGACTCCAATGAGCTCCATGGGCTCCCTAGAGATACATGAGTCCCTGCTCGATGTATCGGCTGCACCGCATCTCCTCAGGCCTGGCTCAGATCAGTGGTTTTCGTCTTTTCCTTGATCGCTCTCTATCGAATGTCGGAGCAGCACCTCAGAATATGGACCACAGACCATACGCAATATTTCCTTCCATATTGTGACCCCATTCCCCAAACTTACCGCCCGGGCCGCGTGATGGGCCCTTCACCTATCCTCGCCCACCCCACTGATGTAGAGAATTTCCGACGATCGTCAGAGATCCTGAATACAAAAGACACGCTTTGAAAATCTCCAGAGGCAATTTGTGAACTGTATTTGTATGTTGAGTGCAAAACGTACGACACCATTTTGGACCTAATTAACCTTCTTAACTTGGTCCAGAAATAACTATTATTTAATTAATTGATCTACCAGTTTGACGTATATTTTGTCATAAAATTGTAGAATATTGTCTCGCTCGAAGAATGTTATGCGTTTTGTCCAAAAAAAAGCTAATAAAAGAAACGAGTAATTGGAAATTCAATCGTGTGTGAATGAAGGATGAAGTTTTGGGGTTTGGCCTTTCATTTCGAAGAACCTTTATTCTTTCTTTTGTTTTCAATTTTTCTTTTTAAATAAATAAAAGCTGATCGTTTATTAACCATGAGTTTTCAAAATGTAGACATATTCGTTTCCTCTCCTCGGACGATTCTCTAGCACCACTTGGCGGAAACGTGACTCCAATCGAATACATAAAAGGTAATGTACTATACTCGTAGTTTGACAGCTAGAATCTCTGGAGACCAACCCTCCTGTCAATTTTCAGCCTGCTGTCTGCTTGCCTGCTTGAGGGATACCAACCAAACCTGTCAAATTGTCAATAATTTTGAGTAATATGTAAAATTAAAGCTGTTCATAATACAACATGTAATCCCATTTATTTTTCAAATGTTATTTTGCAGTATGAGTGGTGTTTTATCGGGAAATTTCATTGAAATAATTAATATAAGCGAACCATGACTTCGACTATAGTAGTACATTATAGAGCATTTACAAAAATGGCTGCTTGAACGTGTTCGCGTTATCGGTTGTATTCCGTGGAAGATTAACGATAATGTATGATATGTTATGAAATTTACTATATCTAATAACCAACATGACTTCTGAAAGGTACATTATGTTTACTAGAATTTGGGATTGGTAAATGTGCTTGAAACAAGATGAGGCGTAAAATCGATATTTAATTTTAAATGGGCCAATCTTCTGTGTTATTCTACTTTATAAAATTTATTTTACAATTTTAAACCAGCTGCGAACTTGTGAAGTGCCTTTGAAAACTGTGGATGCCTAAATTGTAAATATTTCTGATCTTGTTAAAATTGAAATGACTGACATTTGTCGAAGACCTTATTATAGTTTTAAAAAAGTTTGCTTTTTACGTGTGCCTTTTTATGTGCATCTGTCTCCGGTCTTGGTGTCAAGCTTATCTGTTTTGATTTTCGGAAATCGTAGTTATGTCTTATGGAAGTGCTTGTTATGCTGTAATTTATGCTTCAAAAATAACTTTGTTTAAATTTAAGTGGCACAGTGTTGTTTGGTGTATGCCTTTAATGGGAAAGTTGTTTTTTACAGAGCTACCTTTTGTGTACATATTGTGGATATAAGTGTCAAAATTTTCTAACTGAAGTTATGCATGTTGCATCAATATCTGCATTGGTAGAAATGTCAGTGACTTACTCATGCATGTGTTACATATCTTATTGTAAGGTTTGTAGTGAAAATTCTGATGAGTAGTATCGTGAGTTGCTTGAAATGCATGTATAAAAATCTTATATTACTTTCAAATTGTGTTATTTCTTATTGACTGTAAATGATATTGCCAATAAAGACGATGTTTATTTACTTCATTATGTAGTGTTCTTTATTATCCAAGGAATGTGGAAAAAATTAACATGAAAGGAATGTGGTGAAACGTTTTTTCATGCATGCTGTGTGCAACTGTAGTTATTTGTAATTCAGGTGGTTGTCATTAAAAAGTAGATGAATTAAAATATTGGTATTGTTTGATTGTATTAATTTATTAATCTGATAGATCCCTTCTATTCTGTTGTATAATTTAAAGGAATATAATCTACAATTTAATTGCATGAAAACAATAACAAGTTTGAATATTCCCTGTCAAAACATGCAACTTTTATATTAACAGTATACTTAGCAATTAAATGAAAATTCATGCTTGCTTGAAATTCGTGTAAGAACATATCAATTCTTCAGTGTTCAGTCATGTATTTCCATTTTTGTAGTCATTTTTTGTCTTGCATATGGTGAATTTTTGTATATTGGCTTTCCTTTGTGGTGCCTGGTATGTAGATACACAATATACACTTGATAGTTTTTGATCTGAGATTCATCTTTCTTTGCATATATTTGTATACAGCTTGAAAAAAAATGCCGTTGATTTATTTTAAAGCTGGTGTACATTTTTAAAGAAATCTATATTATTACACACATTTTGTTACATGAACAATTTTAGTTTGATTTAATATTTATTAATATGTGATTAAATAGACAAAAGTCTATTTGAAGTCTAGTGAAGTTATGATTGAAGCAAGTTACTAGTAATTTAGGAAAATAATAACTGTTGAAATTAAAAGTAATACTGAGTTAGTTGGTTTGGGCAGCTATTGAATCACATGAACCAGAACTTGGAACTTATGTTATAAATAATTGCATCAATAGAAACAAATTGTAAAACCTAATTTCTGGTTAGTTCATATTAATGATGATAATTGCATGTATATTACCAAATCATGTTCAGTTCTTAATAATAAATTTTAGTCAATTGTAAATCACTATTTACAAAGTAAAAGTTATATTTTAAGAATAAAATTGTATATAAACTAGATGTAAATATTGTAATGTAGGGAATACTAACACAAATTAATAATTTAGCAGTGAGGACTTAAGTCAAGAATCAAATTAAAGTAGGCAATAGTAAGCACTGAATAATTTTTCAATGAACTCATGTGGATGTACTATTATATGTTCTTTTTAAAAGGAAAAATGAGTGACTTTCTGGAACAATGATAGTGTTTGTTCTTATCACAAACTCCAATGTGATGTTGGGAGAAATGAAATGAGTTAAACTAAGTAGTAAATTTGCAATATTAGTAGATATAAAAAATAACTGAAAACATGCCATAAACAAAGACTTTTGATATAATCATATTGATAATCTTAAAACATGCTTATTACGAATGTTCAAATGTAGTTAGATTTAATTTCTTTGAAATCTGATTAGTTTATTTTCAGTAGTTTGCTCTAGCAAGCATGTAATTATTATATAAATTGTGGAACACAAGTATTAACCTTTTCACTGCCTAGGTTTGACATGAAATTAATTTTGTTTCGGTTTTTCCAAGTAAAATTCATTACATCATCTATTTCCCTCAAAGAGATCATCTTCCATGGGTGAAAAAAATGTATTTGATTTGTCTTGTTGGGAAGAATTATTTGAAGACTGAGAGGTCATTTAGTGATTTCATATTCAATTAGAATTAATGGGTCAGCCATATTTAAGAATTTTTATTTTTTAATGCTCGAAATAATAAATGCACTATCATTTATTTAAAACTGAAATACTTAAAATTATAAGGTATAAATCTCTTGAAGAAAAATCATCTCTAACTGAAAGTTTGATTGTTTCCCATAGTTAATAAGCAAACCATATACATTATAATGCATTACTTTCAGTTTCAAATTCTGAGTTTTAAAGAGCAATAGTGAAAGAAACTGGGCGTGTGTTTAGAATTTAGCAACATCTTTTAACATTGTGGAAGTTAGCCAATCTTCACTTATACATGAATGGTTTGTTGTGTACTTAGAAAAATGTCTTTTATAGTAATGCTTGTTAATACAATAATTTTTTAATTATTATGCTGATGTTTATTGCATGCACCATAATATGTATTACTTTGAGCATGTTAGGAATTCAGTATCTGGAATCCATCAACTTCTTGTTGTGTATGTAATTTGCAATTGTACCAATGAAATAATTATTTTTGTGTACTTTTCTTGAAGAATTTAATTATTTTATAAGATGAGGTTTTGACTTTTTATATTAAATTAAAAAATAAATTTATAACGAAAAAATTATTGTTACTTTGAGGTTACCTATTTTTACCAGATTTTTCATTTACACACATCATCACTTTTGCCCTACAGCCTGACAAATGGGTTGTATTGTGTTTCTTTGGAAGAACTCCAAAACGTATTCTTTTCTTCGTGATGGCTGAAACTGACTTGGTATAGAAGTTAGGAAGTTCTTAATGAAAAATTTACTTTAGTAAAATTTGTAAGAGGTTCTTGATTTATATGAGTTTCAGTTTTATTAGGTGACAGAATTTATAAAAATATGAATGAAATGAAATTTCATTCATATTTTTAATGAATTATTTATAATGAATTTTTTATCTGATATGAGAAAGGATTGATGTTTGCAATTGTGTTCCAGAATGGAGTGGGTGGAAATTATTGAACCAAGAACGAAGGAACATATGTATGCCAATTTGACCACAGGGGAGTGTGTTTGGGACCCTCCTCCTGGTGTTCCTGTGTAAGTATTTTTACATAATTTCCCAATATAATGATTGCATTTTAATGTGCACATTCTTAATATATTCAAAAATGGCACTTAGGTAGATGTTTGATGGGTATTGTATTGTTATGTGATGCAAGGGATTTGTGTGTGTGCATATGATTGTGTGTGTATGCGATTGTTATTTGGGTAGTAGAACTGTTAACTGAAAACAATTTCTATAAAATGTTTTTTTCACATGCGTTTTGAATGTTCGTGTTGGTCTTTGTGTGTATTGGTATTAATATTAATAATAACATTATTATTATTATTATTATTATTATTATTATTATTATTATTATTATTATTATTATTATTGAATTATATGTAATTTCAGTGTGTTTAATGAGGCAGATTGATTATTATTTTGCTTCTTCATGACAATATAACAAAAATATAAAAAATTATTGTTTTAGACAGGTTTTGCATTGCATTCCACAAATTATTTACAAGATTCTTAGAGGATTTTCATCATTGTAATTTGAGGGTTAATATTCTTTAATAGAATAATTATAATTTTACTCATTGTCTTTTGCCAGCTATTCAGTTTTGTATCTCTTCCAGAAAAAAGACTGACAACAATCAGTGGTGGGAACTTTTTGATCAAAACACCTCTCGCTTCTATTATTATAATGCTACCTCTCAAAAGACGGTTTGGCATCGGCCTCAGAACTGTGACATTATACCACTTGCAAAACTTCAGGTAAAAAATTATGGATATTTTTGATATAATATGAATAGCAATGGATAAACAATCATTTTGCATGTATGTGGAGAAGTAAATAACAATTTTTTTCCCCTTCTGATCACAGACATTGAAACAAAATACTGAACCAGTGGTGGAAGAACATGGAGCAAGTGAAGAGCCTCGAAAGAAAGAATCTGTTGCTACACAAACACCTGGTCGCACAGTGAAAAGTTCGAAAGCTACAGCTGACGCATCTGCTTCTCAGGTAGAATCATTTTTACTTTCTTGTATACATACGTATATATGGAGTAATATACATAGTATAGACAAAGTATTGTGCTAACCCAGATGGCCGAGATGGCTAGAGCATGTCTTGTCTCAGCACTACTTTTCCGTGTACATATTTATAAATGGAGTATTGTACCTAGTACAGGTAAAGTTTTGTAATACTGCGGAAAATCGATTTTGACATTTCAACGAAAATACGTTTTAGGGTCCCCCGATACCGAAAATGTGTTGTTGTTTTGTTTTGTTTTGTTTTGTTTTGTTTTGTTTTGTTTTGTTTTTTCAAAATATTCAGTATGCCCGTCCATCAATCCATCTGGTGCCTTTGAGCACTACTAGCACCTAAACCATGCATATGATTTTTTCTAAATTGAAGAAACCTGTGTCAATCTGCTTCAAGTTGAATCATTGATATTTTCAAAAAAATTCTTTAAAATTTGGGGGTACTTTACATGAACTTCTCTGGACATTTCTATATTTTCTCAAAAATGGCTAAAAATTTTTACTTAAAATGACTATGAATAAAAACTATGAATTTTCGAAAATTTGAAAATTTTTCGGGCGTCTTTTTACAACTACAAAGATGGAAATTTTTTCCTTCAAATAAAATTTTTCACCACAGCGAGTTCTTTCATTAAGGTCTTGAACATTTCTTTAAAATTTTTGGTAGTTTTTTGCGCAATATTGTGAGGAATATGTGCAATTTTAAAAAAAATACAAAAACAATATTTTTTCAAAAACAGCTTTAAATTTTTCCTTTAAACTTTTTCTAGGGATTGTGCTAAATACTCACTAATAGATGTAACAAATGCCATTTCGCTCTATTCTTTTTCAAAAAATACAAAAAATGTAATTTTTTTTCTAGTCTCTCACATTGTTAATATTTACATTAGCGGCAATTTCTTTACATAACTCTATTTATGAGTAGTACATGTGCTTTAAATAATTCCAGATAAAGTTTCCCGAAAACTCAACAGTTTTCCATGAAAATGAGCTCAAAGTTCCGAATTTTCAGAAACACTCAATCACCATTTTCCCAAAAACGGCTCAATTTTTTTCCCCTTCCCCCCTTTTTTTCTTTCTTTCTTTCTCTCTCTCTCTCCCTCTCTCTCTCCCTCTCTCTCTCCCTCTCTCTCTCCCTCTCTCTCTCTCTCTCTCTAACAGGTGCTATTTGCAATGTTTGAGATAATATAGAATTAATTTTGCTGAATTCATTTGATTTTTCAAAAATTACACAAACCTTCTGCATGACGTTTGTTGGTTTTGATAATCTTGCCTGCACTTCCCTCCACAGACAATCATGTCTTATTGATTTGAATAACGTACAAAGATGCATTTTCTCTCTACATTTTTCCAAAGGTTCCCATGATTAAATTTAGAATTAGAAAACCTTATCCTAACAAATTTTGCGGAATATATTTGTACATTTTCAAGAGGTGTTCTTTGCCCTAAATGATATGGGTTCCTACATATGGAGTCATATTCCAATATCGGTTGTACTAGAGATGTATACCCTAATTCCTTTGTTTTTTGCTCCTTTGCAAAGTACTTTAATCAAAAAGTACAATGTCTTCCATGCCTTTTTCACTACATAATTAATGTGTTCTCCCCATCCCAGATCCTCATTTAGTACTATTCTGAAATATTTACAGCACTTAGCCCTCGGATTATCTTTAGCCCTCAGAATACAATTTAAATGACAATATTAATGTATAATTTATTATTTGTACTGTATAGTTCTGAAGTACTAAGTATGCATGTAACAAATACTGTGTTTATGTTTTGTATCAATGATCCCTATCTTGATTGGGTTTTTGGTTCTGTTCTTGTTATCCTTTCAGCAAATGCTGAGATGGGCTGTTACATTGCTTTTCATCGTAAATATAGCTTCACTATCTACACACATTTTCTTGAGCTCTTTGAGAATGTAACTTTGAAGAAAAATAAGGAAATTAGTAGTAAAAGTGCAGAAGTTCTGGAGCTCAAAAAATCGTTTCACTCTTCACAAACACTCTTCACATAGAGTTTTTAAACATTTTTGCCATTTAAACTATACATTTTTTTCTGAGGGAGCTGTGTGAGAATGCCTAGTCGAGACTTGGAATGTAGGTGCAAATTTATTGTCTTAATTTTACTGTCTCTCTGAAAGAAATGCTTATTTTTGAATGGAACTATTCTCTTTTTGTCTGCCTGAATAAAATATCTCTGTAATATGGCTTTTTTAAAAAAACATTATTTATTTGTAATAGCAGCAGCAATTTTGCTGTTTAACTCATATCATTCAAAAACTGTATATGTTTAATATGAATCTACAAGTTTATAATATAATACCTCATGTAGTATACTTCGTATAATATAACTTTAGCAATAAAACAAAAACAGTGACTCTCAAATCAAAAGTTAATTGACGTCGTATATCCTGCATATCTTGTAAGACTGTTATAAAACAACTCAAGGTAGCTCCATTGATACTGTGCTGGCAATCCATTCCACCATTCCATGAGTTCACCACTCTGTTACTCAAAAGAGGTGTCACTGTAAGATCCTTGTATTCTCGCTGCACAACTTCAAAGAGTGACCCCTAAGGTGACAATCTAGACTTCTCTCAAAGAAATTTGTGAGAATTCTTTCATCATATCCTCCATTCATAATCTTAAACATTTTGATTAGATCTCTTTGTTGTCTCCTCTGCTCCAAAGTTGGCAATTTGACTGCCCAACATCTCTCCTCATACGATCTGTTCTGTAGATCGATAGTGGACTTCGTCATTTGTCTCTACACTTTCTGTTAGGCCTCAATGTCTTTTTTGTAGTAAGGGGAACACACTGATCTGGCATATTCCAAACTTGGTGTGATATATGTCACGTGTATCTTCATCTGTCGACTTAATTCCCGGGAACACTCTCCTCATCAGGTACAGTGCAGAATTTGCTCTCTTGACAACTGCTGAAACCTGTCTGTCTCATTTGAGATCTTGGGTCACAGCCACACCTAGGTCAACCTGTGCTGCACTGGTTGTATTGTATGTATGTCCACCAATCTGCTACAGGTTTCTGGTGTGATGAATTATAATGGTTAAGATGCAGTGATGAAAAATTGTTTGTTTTTCCCATTGTCTTCTGTATTTTACACTCACAATCCTTACGAATTGTGCAAGACTTGAACCAGCTAGTTGTGATTTTACATATTGTGGCTACCATTTGCGTCAACTTGCACCAAAGAGGTCAGCAGTGATCTTTATTTTTATGCATTACATTTCATATTAGAATATGCATACTTAATCAATTGAGATTGTGAAATTGTAGATTAAAACATTTGATGATGTTGATGTATTGTTTTGTTAACTGTTTAAATAGTTTTAAAAAAAGCTATTGTTAGAAGATTAATACATACAAGAAGCAGAAACGGTTAGTGGAAAGTGAATAACAAATATTTCTTGGTCATCAATTACTCATGCATTTATTTTTTATTACAAAGCCTGCCTGATAAACCCAACAAAGCTTTTTTATGTATATACATAAATTCATTACATAATGGCATTAATGTAATTTTTTAGCTTTATGCAGCAAAAAATAAATTTTTTGAACTAAATGCAAACATATTAACAAAAGTTGTCATTTTAATCTATCATAACATATCAGTCAACATTACATAAATAGTTTATAAGTTGTATTATCTCATAACAAACACTCAATTTTAGAACACCTGAAGCACTTCTTTAATTATATTGTGAAATATTATCAGTTAATTAGATAAATATTTTTTTCAGGGATCAAAACCTGAAACAAGACATTCATCTCGTTCTCACCATAGTGCAGTTGGCTTCTCAGTAACATCAGAAACTCAAACATCCCCTGTCGGTTCTCCTCGTACAAGCCGCCGAAGCCATCACCATCACCACCGGCATCACCATGCCCGAGAAGAACAGGAAAGTGGTCAGGGTGATGGCGCTCGGCAGCGGTCACGAAGAGGAAGTCAGGGAAGCGGCTCTTGGTATACACGAACCACTCACTCTCAAGTAAGTATTTTCACACAATATGTTTTCAGTTGTAATGAGAGGTGGAATGAATGCTAAGTGTCCTCAAATCTGATTCTTCTTCTGCTCATACCTATAAGATCGATAGTGCTGTCGATTGCTTTAATGTTTGAGGATGCTAAAACTCCCTATTTTGTTAAATTATGATGTGAATTACACTTAGAGAAAGCATATATTCAAGTGGTGATCAAAGAGATTTAAAAGTAAGAGGTTTGAAAAAATCGAATTAAATCTTCAAAGTGTGGAAATTTTTGAATCTAGGGCCTTTTGCAGGTTTTGAGGGATTTGTATATTTCTATGGCATGTAACTGTGTTAACTGCACAAGAAATCTATCTCATAATGCAATGTTTTTCAGGATTCAGGAAGGTCAAGTGACTCCAGTTCAGTTTCTCATAGTAGGACATCATTGGAATCTGGATACAGGTTACTTGAATCACCTCATCACCATCATCACCACCATCACCATCATGGTCATCGTCATGGAAATAACCATGCGGCAGGCCTTTCCCCCCCTCTCCCGCACTCATCAGCAGAACACCGCCATCGGGATCAAGCTGGGGGTTTAACCCTCTCGACTAGCACCCCTTTGTTCAAGAAGAAGCCCCTTGGCGAGGCCAACTCCCAGGTAAGGACTCATGGCATCAGGAACATGAGAGAAGCAAAAATAGAAAACTTTTATAGTTGGTTCAGTCACGTGAGCGATTGTTTTGACACACATTCAAGCCAATCTAATTTGGAGTTGATGAGTAACAAAGAAATTATTTGCATTTATATTATGAACATTGGCTAACTTATTTTGGGGCAGTGGTGCTTCCTACTATTTTGTTTCCACCAGCTGTAAATGTTCACTTGAAAATAATTTATTTATTTTTTAGAATTTAAAAATAGTGTACATCATAGCTTTTACGTAAGGCAATATTATTTTCAAGGATTATAAAGGATTAAAATATATACGTACGTATAAAATACTCAATTACTTGAGTATAGAGCGATTTTTATAAGAATGAGCCAAAGTGACAGTTTGGTAAACAAGTGAACATCATGTGTAATGCAGAGAAGTATCTCTCCGCTGTGGCAGCTGTTCAGACATGCCCCTTTTTAGTATTTATGGCTCCCATGAAGACATCACTATACAGAAATCTAAGAGTTTCACTGAGGTATATGCACGTACACGAGTCTGGGAAATATTGAAATTTCATTACGTATGTGGAAAACTGTTTGAACGTGGTCTCATATTCAGTAAAAGAAAACTGCCACAAATGTAAATAAAAAGAAAGTAGATTTTTTAGGGTATGTTCAAATACCTTTTCTGGTCATTTCACAGCAAATGGCTCATGCGTTTTTATAGTGGAGGATAGTTTATTTATAATTATAACACCCTGACTATCAATATTTAATACTATGATCTCATAATTAAAATGTGACTTAATAATTGTTTTATATGTCACTAATGTTGTGCATGTTAATGCATTCCTTAATTGTGAACAAGAAGGATGCCCTTTGGGCCCACTAACGCTTTTCATGGTTCACAACCATGTCACAATTATATTTAAAAAAATTATACATACATATATAGATATAAATATAAAATATATATAAATATAAAAAGCACAAAATTCTCTCAAACACAGCTCTCCACCTTACTACACAGGAGCCGGAAACACATGCACTGCCACCCGTACACATCACACATTGAAGACTGTTTTAAAATAAACATAATACTTATCACACAAAAACTAAACTCAATGTAATGTTTATAAAAAAAAGAATTTTAACAGAAGAACACATAGCCCTGCACTTCCTAATTTTTCTTGGCACACTACATTTTTGTCAGACGAAGGCATCACAAAAGGAAGTGTCGAAGCCATTTACAAGTTAGCCAACTGAAAACGAACGAATGGAGGAAGGAAAGTCTAATTGGCTCAAGGGCAGAACTATCGCAGAACCTTCAGTTGTGTTGCCAGCACTAGCTGCCAAAATGTCCCATTGTTATAAAAATCACTCTTTGATATTCATTTATTGTAAGATGTCTGATTACTTTCGAGATGTTTGGATTTCTTTATCAAAAAATAATATCATCATCATCAGGCCCTTCAGGTCCATAGCAACCTGCAAGAATTTGCTGCTGAAGCCCATAGCTACACAGCAACCTTCCACCATTTAGGGAGGGTCAATGGCACATATCGCTACTGTAGACTCATTGACACGTTTTCTCTATCTGTCTGCTTGCTGTGATACTTTGCCCTCTTGCACCTTTTTTGGGCACAGGGAGGAAAAGGAAGAAGCAATAGTTTTATTAGGATAGGCATGGTGGTTTGGAAAAGCCCAGCCATACCACGGCTCACATGCATGCCGGCAGTGGGGTTTAGAACCCGCGACTCTTTGAACCGAGACTGCTGAGGCATGTCCACTGCAACAGTCTTGGCTACACTAGTGATACCATTTTAATAATCTCACTTCTGTTTTGACATGATTTATATCATTCTTAGAATATTCTTTATAGTGATGCTATGAGAACAAACGAAATCACTTGTGAAAATTATGCCTATCCTTGTACTACACTCTATGAACTGACACTTCCAAGACAATATCAGGCGATGTGTGGATCATCTTGCTAATGGGAGAATGCATTTTGTGGTGTGGTGCTGTCTTTGGGAATATTCAACTGTTTGAGAACCTGTCAAAATAATTGTCTACTGGCCTGAACCGAGTATTGTACTATGCAGAAGGGAATGGAATCTAGTTTTTAGTGTAAAGATTTCATATTACAATACATATCAAACTATACAATTACTTAAAATTTTATATTTTTAGTGATGAGTGAGTGACCTTGTGTTGTGACATAAGCAGTGGAAATACATTTTCATGTGAAGCATGAGAAATAGTTTTGTAAATTATAGAACCTTAGTTATAGTCTCTAGACTTATTTTTAGCTAAAATATTTTTATGACAAATTTTAAAATTTCTCTGTTATTTCTTATATTTGTCTTATTGAGAGTTCAAATAGAATATAAAATAAGGAACATATTTTGAATTATAAAATCTTTGAATACTTAAATGAAGATGTTATGCAAAATTGTTGTTGTATTGAGAAGATTAGGGCCTAACAGATGTTAGGTCTTCAGTTTTAGATAAGCAGTGAATAAAATCGAATTAAATTAATTAATCTTTGACCTTTCAGTACTTTTTAGCACGAATATATTACTGATACGTAATCACTAAGCAGTTTTTAAAATTAAAAATCAATAAATTTGCTTTTTAGTTACTAGAACAAAATTTACCAAAATATAAGACTAGGTTTTTTCCTAAATATCGCCTATGAAAATTCCTAACTTAATATTCCTAAATGATAAGCGGTGAAGAAGATGATGTTGAACCAGTTTCCAAGTAGTGGGTGTGATTGTCATTGGTTCATATGCTTGAAGAAAAGAAAGAAGTAATTGGGAAGAGTCTAACAAAGAATTAAGTCTTGGACAGCATTTCAATAAACAAAATTGAATTGATGAAAGAATATGACAAATCAGTCAATATAATAAGAATTAGTCAAAATACCAAAATGCACGTTTTGAATAGGTTTCATTATTATCATGATTAACATTATTATTATTATTATTATTATTATTATTATTATTATTGTTGTTGTTGTTGTTGTGGTTATCATCATCATCATCATGTTGGGATTTGCAATCATGGAAATTATGCAAGCAAAAATTTATGAGAAACAATCAAGTATGTTTTTAAATGCAGAAGAATTAATAGATGTTTACTGAAAAAGAGAGAAACAGAAAATTAAGTAAGATGGTGCACTGGCTGTGTAATTGTTAAAGAAAGTTGGAATTAGAACATATAATAAATTGCAAGGAGCGTCTTCTCAGCGATTCAGATTGATTTTTACTGAATTGTGTAAAATCAGTTTCTGTGCTCTTTTTAAATACCCTGCCTTGTTCATTTGGATTTTGTGTTTGGATTGAGGGAAGTTCTCAAAAAATTTATTTTAAACAAACCTTTAAAAATGGGAGATTAATGAGGAAGATCGCTAACTGAAGCATAATTAATTTTGAAATTATTCGATAGTTGGGCCATTTGACTTGGTAGGTATTACAATTTGTAGCACACTTTCTATTTTTATTTCTCAGAACTAAGTGTTCAGTAGTCCTGAAAGGTTCATAATGTAGTGGGAGAGATGTACAATTAGATGTGTATAGGTATGTAAAAATATGACTTTTCTTCCTTAACGTTCTGAAGAGATGATTATAAAATATAGAACACTACATGAATAATAATAAAGGGACAAAGGAGAAGGAGAAAGAAGAAGAGAGAAGAAATTGAAATGAAGGATGATGAAGACAAATATCTATTGGATTTGCAATAATTTTTAAAAAATGTGCATCTTTATTACATCATCACTACCATGATTAATTTATCCCATTGCACTGAGAAAGCATGTGAAATATAATTTGAATGTAGGGCAGGGGGTTCGTAGAGGTATTTGTATTAAATAATTTTATCATTATTCTGGATAATTTTCTTTTCTGAGAAATTCAGAAAGGGTGGTATTCAAATTTTACTGCATTTTGCACATTTGATACAACTTTTTGTTTACTCTCAAACGTTTTAATATTAGTCACAAAATTCTTTTATATTTTATAATATATTGTTATCTGAAATTTTAATAGTAATTTTACAGAATCATATTAACATACATTTATTCTGTAATTCTGAATTAATTGGGATGGGGCTTTTTATTGAATATAAGTAAATATTTACTTTTGGAAATAGGATATTGGGGAACCTTCTTTTTTATTACACTTTGCAATCCAAGCATTGAGATCTTATAATAGAGAAGCTTCAACATACATACTTTTTGTATTTTGTGTACTGAAAGTTTGAATTGTATTTGCTAAGCAACTACCCCCACGTTCAGTTCTTGAAAGCAGTTAAACACAATAGAATATTGAGTGGCTTCTTTCTGGTTTGAGTGTATCCTAGCACAGATCCTTCTTGTTGCTCCAAATTATTTTCTCATTTTATTTGCAGGGACTACTATCTGATATTCAATTCTTTTATTACAGACATATTTGGAAGAGATGGCAATGGTTACTTTTTAATATCTTTTAATGAGCAAAACTGTTCAAGATTGGTTTTGGATTAAGCATGTACTCATAATCTCAAGAGAAATTCTTCCAGCATGCATATATTTTATTGTAATGCTTGCATAGAAAATATCAGTTTGTCATAAAATGCTACAATTTGCTTTTGGTATTGTAATAAATTTGCAGCATGTTAAAGTATTAAAGCTATTAATATATCTGGAGGAATAGTTAACAATTTTCATTTCTCCTATCAGGACACTTATTTATTGAATTTGCATATTGAGGATGAACTTGAGTATTAAGAAAGCATGTTGCATTTGTCAAATTTCTCAAGTTTGTTGACATTCTTTTATATTTGCTTTCTGGGACATTGAAAGTCAATTCTCTTTCTTTCTTTCTGAAAAATTCCTCTTCATTGCAGTGATTGGTGATCTTGTCTGCTCAGCAATTTTTTCTTGCATCTTGCAGAAAGAATACAGTTTCAGGCAAGGGTGCTAAAGAGGGTTTAGGGAAACAGGTAGGAGTTGTAGTAGTCTGAAATATATGTGAATTTTTTTAATCGTTTCCCCTGTATTTGTTACACACCACCTTGTTACCAGATTATTAGTGAACTTTCATTGTTACAACCTTATAATTTTCTAATTCACAACCACCTGTTAGTATTGTTTGATGAGAAATGGGTTCTGTTAAGGAATGGGTAATTCCAAATAAAACTATTTCATAATTGAGCCATTTGTAAATATTTTTCCCCAAATCAAGATTGTGTTATAAGTGATTTTTCCCAAAATGTAAATTTAATTCTAGGATAATTGATTATTCTGTTAAAAACGTGATGGAAAAAGCCTACATATTTAATTTTTTTGTTGTACTTAATTTTGTATTGTGCTCTTGTGTTACTTGATTATTGGTTAATGAACTAACAATAAATGTATGTTCCCTTGACAGATATGTAGATTGCCTTTGTCATGTTTTCCAGTTGAAAAGCTCATTGATAGTATTTACTTCTTTTAATTGATACCATACCTTGTGGGATTATTTAGTGTAATTATGTAGCTTTGTTGAGATATTGTGTTATTCAATCTTTTTGAGTGCCCTTCCTGCTTACAGAAACTTAAGATGGAAGATGTTAAGTGCCAAATGTAAGAGTATGGAATTGGGCATGCAGATAAGTTCACTTGTGCATGGGAGCCCTCAGTTTCTTGGTGTGCATCTTTTGCATCCATATTAATATAATTTTTTGTAATGTAGCCTTTTTGTTTATATTTCCATGTTTCATTGTAATTTACAGGTTTATTGACCTAGATGTATATTTTAAATGTATGTTCTCTCTTAATGTAACATTTTCACTGTTACCACTGTCCTGAATTTGATGAGGACATTAACACGAACAAGCTCTAAATGGGGACTGGACATCTTAATGACATCCAGAAAACAAAACTCAGAGAAAGTGGAAACAGCTTTTTACATTTTAGTGATGAGCTGCGTAATTTCTGGATGGTAAATTCCTTATGTAGCCGTTGGCAAGGGTGCTTTAGAGTAAAACCAATTAAACTCCTGGGTCACTGTGTAGGAACATTTGTCATTTTCACTTCTGGCTCTTTCTCCCAGAGAAAAAAACATCCAGGACCAATAACACTGTCTGCTGTAGACAAGAAACTTGTATAAGCTTGTGTTTATCATAAGTGAAGGAAATATTAATAATTTATCCAGTGAGTCTCAGGTCAAGCTAAATTATCTCTTAAAAGTAGGTTTAATCGCAATTAATTTGTGCATTGTTTTAATTAAAGTTTTGGCAGATCATAAAAAAAAGATAATTTGGGAAAATTGTGATTAAAAATAAAAGGTTTGTTGATTTAAATTATTACATTATTTACGTATTAAACTAACTAACTATCAATGTAATCAAATTTTGTTTTGGACAAAGGGAACAAAAAAAATCAATTCAACTCCTAATCTTAGTTGTTATTAGATTGGATGGATAGATTATCTTTGCAGGGTTTTTTTTCTTTCTTTCTTTCTTTTTCTTTTCTCATTCTTCCTGAATTTGGTTGGGTGTATTTTGTCACACACATCTTGGGAAGATTTGAGATATTTAGAAAAGTCCATACTTTTGATACTCTTATATGATAAGATATTTATTTTCTTTCTTTGGTTGTTGTTGAGGGCATAGTCATTGCTTAGCTTTTGTGTTCTTATTGCTCCTTGATGGATGTACTATAACCTCAAAGTTGGTCGTCATTGAATCTGAGCTAGTTACAAAGAACGAGTATGGGTTTTAACAAGACCTGCATTTTACTTACAACATTTTATTTACAAGATCTCTTCCTATTAGATTATAAAAATCCTTCTTTACCCAGCTCTTAAGCTCATACATTGTACATTAGTGTTGTGAAATATTAGGAATTCAAACTTCAAAAACGTTTCCAAACACATACTAGAAGAGGGAGTCTTATTTTTTCTACAAAGGATCCTGAAACCTCATGATTTTTTAAAAATCATACAAACTTTTTCTAAATGATGTGTCATGTCAAACAAATTTATTTCAAAAGCACATATATTAGATTCATTATAATATTCGTATAATAAGTATTCATTATTAGATTCTTCACAAATTAATTTAAATTATAAATATCTATTAGAAGTTATCAGATTGCAGTTGATGCCAATAAATTGTATTTGATTGTCTTATTATATTATTGAGTCATCATATCATTATACGAGAAATCACAAGTGCTTTTCCTTTAGAATAAAGATATAAGAAAAATTAGTTATAAATGTATTTGTAAATGATTCCCATTCCATATAAATAATTAGTGCTTCATTTATTTATTTGTTTATTTTGTATTAGCATATAAGTATGTGGAAAATGCATTGTGGGACTCTTTTGAGCTTGGTCTCTGCACCTTCAAAGATTTGATTACTTCTGCTTTAGATTGCCAATGCTGGAATGTTGAAGTGCTTCTGGGCAAAAATTTGGACAAATCATGCCATAAAGAACTTCATTCCCCTTCCTCCTTAGACATGTGCATGGAGAAAGTGTTAAATTCCTGGCTGCATGTGACTACACATTTCTTGCATGCATTTGTCTAGGGTTAAGAAATGTGTTCCACATTCAAAGCCTCTCTGCTCCCTGAAGAGAAGAGCAAAAAGCATGCACTTAAATGTGGACACCCCTTAAGACTGCATTAATTGCAATTACTTTCCATAATTCTGGAACTGTAGCTGAATTGTAAATTACTCATTACAGTGCGATCATTTTATAGGTGGGCCAATTTCATGGAAATTTTTCTCAGTGATAGAGGACTTGGTTCTCATGGAAATTTAGATTTGATGGTCGGTGAAATCATAGAAGGGTGCTGGTGGCATTTCTGGAAAGTTTAAATTGTAGTAGGTGCAGGATGACCTCTCTCCCTTGACTGTGGCATTCATTAGTTTTTTCACACTATCTTCACAATTATTTTATTCTGATGTAACAGTATATTTCCTGGGATCTTCCTTATAAATTTCTGTTGACACTTGCTCTCTAATGTATGCCTCACATGTGTGTCATACCTAAACACTTTTTGCTTCACACTGAAATTGAAATGTACCGTCATGAATTAACTAGTCAATATGCCTGGTAAACAAGTTCTAGGGCTGTGTGTGAGGCTTTGAAACCTTCGTGCCTAGATCACTCACAATGGAGTCGAGTGCCTTTTTCTACCAGCAAGGATCAGTTTATTACCCAGGCAGATTTTATCAATCATGGCGCACTTATATGATTGTTGCACTGTATTTTAAATGACATTGCTCTTTTGTCATGTGCATGGACAGCTCCCGATTTTGCCTCTTTTTATGATCCTCCACCAACAACAGAACCATCACCACTTGACCACAGAAATTCAGTGTCATCTCAAAAGAAGTGCTTTGCTACTGTTCTTGTCAAAGATAATTACTTTTCCACACTGATTTTTATTCACTCTCCTTTTTGTACCATAAATTACGTATTGAAAATAACATTGTTGCAGGATTGAAGCAAATTTTATTTCAATAATCCTTACACATTCTATGAAGTAAAAAAGAATCAGTGACTTAGTTTAGTGAAAAGTAATAGGGATGATTATGATTTGCACCATTAATTGGTAACTGTATGGCGTGAGACAGCCTTTATTGCAAAGTCTTCAGTATTTGATAGCTTCTTGTAAACTCAGTATTTAATTTCAGTTAAAGGATTCTGTATTTTCAGTTTTATAAATCACATTTTTTTGTTTGTTTTCATTTTGTTTGCACTTTTATGTACATTTTTGTTTGCAGATCCCTCATTTAACACAACAACAACGTAGCAGTCTTGATAAATATGGTCTTTTGTCGGTACCATCTGGTCATTCCCGGAGGGACCAAGCAGGGTCACTTGCCAAACAACATAGTTTTGATGTGATGGAAAGTAATGCTTCATTTTTGGAAAATCGCTCAAGACAACAGAAGTGCCATCAACAGGTTGTTGCACAGCAGCAACCACAACCCCCACAGCAATCTCCTGTGCCAGCTCCCTTGTCCCGTAGTTATAGTTTTATGCAGAGACGAGATAAGTACCAGCAATATCAAGATGAGGATGATTCAATGCACGAGAAGTATTTTATGGGCACTAGTAGTAGTGGGGGTGGGAGTTCAGGTATGCGATCAGTGGAGTCCACTCCACAAACAAGGAGGAAATACAATGGAAATCCTACAAATAACCTAAGTGGAAATTGGCCAGTGTCTGGCAATGCATCTGGTAAGTCATCTGTTGTAATGTGGTGTTCATAACAATGCTCCTCTTAATCATAAGCCACAATAGTTATAAATATTTCCAGGTGGGCCAGTGACATCAAAGGGTCATCTTGATTCACAACCCAAAGATGAACAGCTAGAAATGACACCGCCACTTTCACATCGAAAAACCAAGTCCGATTTAAGATTCTATGAACAAGCGAATATTGCACAGCAACACATGAAGAAACCTACTTCTAAATTTACTGGAGAGAGACCTGTTCTCTTGGCTAGTTCATCTGTTAAGACTCTAAGCAATGATGAAAACTCAACCAGTGAAGATCCTACGTCTAGTCCTTCCCCTTCATCACCAACTACAACTTCACCATCTAGTCCCACTGCGGTGAATTGCAGTAAAAAGCTACTTCCTAATATTTTTGCATCTGTTGAACCTCCACAATTGAAGGGGTCTTTCCCCGAAGAAAATCCAAAAAGTACTTTGATATATGATGACTTAATTTCATCTCTTGTGCCATTGGACCATGGTATTTCACCACAAGCATCTCAAACAACGCGGGAGAGTTTGTTGTCTAAAGTAAGCAGAATGAAAATGGACAGCCAAATATGAATACATTATTAGTGCAAATTTGGTCAGATGTAGTGCCAGAATTATTTGGTATACATCTTATTACCAGAAAAGATTTGTTGAATATCTTACCTGTGTTTCTAGAATGCCATATTTGAAATCATAATATTTTCTGTACATACACACAATGTGATTTTGAATATTTTGCAATTATAATATGCAATTTGATTCTGTGAAGTAATTTTTTTTGTTTTAATTCATTTCTAAAACATGACTAAATTGATATATTGCAAGGGTAGTATGGTGTGCCAGGAAAGCTTCTCTGCAGTCACACCTTGTTGGCAAGAGTACTAGTGACAGAAATTATGTTGGTTGCATGAACTGCAGCTTGTAACTAAAGAAAACATAAATTGTGTACTCACTACGATCACAACAGATTCTGGAAGTGTTGTCCCCTTCATTTGTTCCCCAGTGATCTGCTTGCTACCATAAATGTAATTTTTAATAGGAGGCCCTGACTTGGCTCTATGCTGAGAGACTTTCCTACGATGGTGCACAGTACTTATGAGAAACTGCAGATTTGATGATTTGGAACTGACACTCACAGATTCAAGCATTTCTGGGGAAACGGAGAAAATTGAATTTTTTACATAATTATTTTAATTGAAAAAACAACATAAATTAAGGAAATAATGAAAATAATGTGTGCAGTTAAATTCAAAGATTTAATTTTCTTTTCTTTTTTCTTTTAGAATGCAGGTTACAACAATGGGAACATGTCTTCATCAAAATATAATAGTTTGACTACTGTAGATAATAATAAAGGTAGACACTTGCAGACAAGTGGACCGTTATACAGCAACATTGATTATCCATATCTTCTTGATCCTGAGACGCAGGCTCATCTCCTTCCTCTCCAGCAGTATATTCTAGAACAAGCCAAACTTTCTGGTAAGCATTTATCCCTTTATTTACAGACAACAGCAAAACTAATGCCTATGTCTACATCAAAGCTTTATTATTAAGTATTGCAATGTGATTTATTTACTGTTTCTTAAAAACTTGTGTTGAAAGTTTTTAGGGATTAAATTGTTAAGAATGGAAGAGAACTTTGATGATAATGATGTTTTAGTTTTGAGTTGGAGACATTTACTGACATTTATAAGCAACATGAACAAACATAATATTTTTTTAGACTTTGCCTACTTTAATCGGTGAGCTTTCTTTTTGAATTTTCATATCTTATATTTCTTGTGTTGTGCAGACCTGGGTAGCTGAGGTTGCTAAGGCACCTTGGTTGTCTCAGATCAGAGAGTCACGAGTTCAATTCCTGCTTCAGACACGGATTTTTGCTTGGGGGCCATGGCATGGTGGGGCTCTCCCGACCACCATATATCTTCCAACCATATTCCTTTCACTCCTGGCCACCCTGGGGCCTAGGGCAAGTATGCCCAAGTACATTACATCTGAACTTTGGTTTTGAATTCTTCATAAGGCATGTATGTTGTGACATGGTGATAACTGACCCAACCTCATGTATCTTCCTCCAAAACCCATTTTCTAGACTCTCCAGATTTTAATATCCACCACCAATGTAGCTATATGACACTGAGGTGGGCCTAAAGGGTACCTTGACATTACTATATGCCAAAAATAGACTGATGGACAAAGATCTACAGCCATCTCCAACAGCTGAGGAGGTGAAGGGTCCCATCCCAAAATATAGAGAGGAAAAAAAATAATGAGAATCGTGATGTGTTACGTATACTGTATTACATACATTTCATTTTCTTGAAGATGCAGTCTGTAAGATTGCAAAACACAATATATGCTATTTGCTTCACTATAACATGAAGAAATAAATAAATAATTTTTTATCCAGGGAAAATATTTTTTTTTTTTTTTGTTCACAATTTTAGAATCTCTTTTCGTCAAAGAATATGTCCCTTTTCTTAAAAAAAAAAAAAAAATAGACAGTACTAGTTTCAATTTATTTATTACATCTCAGTTAGTATTAAAGCACATTCTAGATCATTTTTGTTCAGATTGCCTCAAATTTAATAAGAATACTTTGTTCATGTCTTATATTAAAATAAAACTCATTCTGTTGGGACATATTCTCTACTATTCCAGAAGATAGTTCATCAAAAGTTTGCTTTTTCAGGTTGCTACCGCTTTGGTGATCCTCTTAATGAAGAAGCTGACTCCTTACATTCAGACGATGAAGACCAGTCCACAGGGCGAGGCGAGGATGACAGTGATGAGTTTGCTGATGATGAAGGCATGTCCAATCAGGAGGATTCGAGTTCTCAGGAGTATTTAGATGATAGTAATTATCTTGATGATGAAGAAAGCCAGCAGTATTTGGGTACTCACTCACAAATGAGATTGCGCACCAAATATCCAGGTAAAGACTATTGTGTATTTGTGTATGATTGATATTAATTTTTTTTATCATTTAACCCAACAAATCTGAATCATATTACAAAGAAACCATCAAAAACTAGGAAATCCCATTAACTGTCACTTATCCAAATCTAGATTTAAACTTGTAGAACCTTCAGTATTTTATTCTTTGATTTGATTTGTTACATAATAGAGAAAGTAAAAACTATGTGTGGCATATAGGGGAGAAATATAAATCTGCACATGTTTTCTTGAGCTCCAGAATCCCTTTCCAACACTGTGACTATATACAGTGGAATGATGAAAAAAGTACCAACAAAGTGAGGTTAGGGTTTTATATAGTCTTTGCATCATAAACACTGGCAATGTGCTCCTTTTACTAAAAAGGAGAAGCCTTAAAGAGCAAGGGTTTTCTTAGGATTGATTCCTAAACTATGCCTTAATTATAAGAAATTTCATTACAAAGAAGAAAAAAAAATATAGTACGGAGTTGCTCTACAGCTGTCGCCGTTTCTCCGCTCTCAGTCTCCATGCCTCTCTATTAGACCATAGATCATCTTGCATTTCTCTTGACGTCATAGCGTCTTGCACTCCCTGCTGCCATGCAAGTCTGGGTCTTCCTCTCTTCTGTCTTTCTGTCGGCACTCATTTTAGGACTCGTTTTGGCCATCTTTCGTCTGTCATTCACATAACATGACCGTACCAGACGATTTGTTTTTTCTCTTTTTCGTCAAAGATAGATTTCTTTACATCCATTTTCTTTCTTATGTCGTTGTTCCTGATTCTGTCACATCTGCTATAACACCAACTTCTACGTCAGAAGTCCATTTCAAGGGCCTACAGCTTCCCTTTTGTTCTTTTATCAATCTCCCAAACTTCTGAACCGTATGTTGTAACACTTTAATTAGCGAGGAGTAAAGACGTCTTTTAGTAGTGTTAGTGATGGTTTTGTTCCATAAGACAGAGTTTATACTTTGTGTCACATTTCTCCTCAAGCTTATTCATCTCTCAATTTCGTCTTGGCTATTTCCCTTATTGTAAAAATGTACACCAAGGTATTTATATTTGTTAACCCCTTTCATTTTTCTTCCATTTTGCAGAAGAAGATCTTCTATTTCATTTTTACCAACTGCCAGGTATTCAGATTTGTCCATATTAATATTAAGTCCTTCTTTTAAAAAGTGTTCATTGTGTTTACGGATCATGAAACTCTAATCGTTCGCATCTTCTGCAATTACTACCTGGTCATCTGCGAAATATAATGTAAACAATTTATTCTCTCCGATCGTCATTCCCATTACTCTACATTGTTTCTCTCACTGCTGTAAAATTTGCTGCAAATATATTTTAAACAGTGTTGGGGTAAAGACCGCAACCCTGACGAAGACCTCCAATGACTGGGAATGGATCTGAGAGCCTGCTGTAGATCTTAATCTGAGAGGTGGTGTTCTTATATAGATTCTGTGTGGCTCCAATTAAGTTTTCACTGATTTTATGTCCATCCATTTCTTCCCATATTCTAGCAACTGGTACATTGTCATATGCCTTCTGAAGATCAATGAAGCCCAGTTGAATTTCCCTACCTCCCCTTGTTCTCTTTTCTATAAATTGGTTTAAAATAAATATATTGTCTATGACCGACCTGCCGGCAGTAAAACCACACTGTTCCTTTCCAATCTTTCCTTTTATCTCTTCTTCTATTTTATTTTGTATTATTTTACTATACAGTCTACCTATAGATCCAATAACTGCTATTCCTCTGTAGTTTGTTTCTTTGTCTCTAAATCCTTTCTTATGGATCGGTGTTTGGTAAGACGTTCACCATTCCTGAGGAGGATCCTGTCCATTCATGCACATTAAAAACATGTGTTGAGAACATTTGGTGCAGTTTATAGGAACCATATTTCAGTAATTCTGCCGGTATATCTGGTGCCAGGTGACTTATTGGATTTCATGGTCTTAAGAGCTTTTTCTAAATCTTTAATTGTCAGATCTACCCTTTGCTCAAATTTCACTTCCTTGTGTGATTGGTAGTTTCTGTTTTCGAGAAGCAGTCTTCCGAAAAACTCTTTCCATTTATTGATTCTAATGTTTGATAATGTGATATTGTTTTTCTCATTCGATTTAATAGATTTAATTACTTCCCAGACTTCTGAGCTCCGTGCTCCACCTATGAATTGTTCTATGTAATCACATTTATCCAGCCATAATTTATTGTTCCTTGATAACACTTCTTATTTTACTTCTCTGCTTATTGCTTTGTACTGTAAATTAGTTTCAGTTTTTTTGTCACTAAGCCATTTTTAATACAGTTCTCTTTTCCTCTTAATCTTTTCTTCTAGACTTGTGTCCCACCAATACTGTTTCGGTTTTAATTTACAAGTACCTAAAGCCTCTCCTGCAGCTTGGTGAATACATTCTTTTATGTGTTCATTTTCTTTTTCTATTGGCCTGTGTTGAACCAATAGTTTAGTTACAAACCTTTTTCTGTAGAGATATGCTGTACTTTCATTGAAAAGACTGCTTAATTTGTATTTGTTTGGTTTCATGACAAATCCCTCTTTATCTTATTTATCTGTGCTATTCAATGTAAATGGTATGAATATTTTAGCAATTACCAAACAATGACTACATTGGGCTCCCCGTTTCACTCTAACATCTTGTACTTTGAGTGAAGTTTTTTGCTTAATTACACAGAGGTCTATTATAGATTTTACTTTTTCTTGCATGTTGGTACCAGGTGTACTTATGAATATCTTTATGTTGGAAGAAAGTGTTATTAATTTTCATTTCATACTCTTCACAAATATTAATGTCTTTTTCCATTGTCATTGCGAGTTTCCTCACCCTGTTGACCCACAATATTGTTGTTCTTGTCTCTTCCAACTCTACCGTTAAAATCTCCTGCAAATATTATCTTTTGGGGCTTTGGAATACCGTTGAGGGTTTCTTTGACTGTCATTTCAAAATCATCTTTCTTAGCCATTGGGGTATCATCATTCAAATTATATATTTCTATGACACTTATGTATTTTCCTCTGATTTTTAACACTTTAATGAGACGTATGTTTATATACTCCCAACTTTTTATACATTTACCAAATCTTTCACCAATAACAAATAGAAATTCCAGCTTTGGCATTTTCATATTTGTTTACGGCACCGTAAAAGTGCACAAAGTTGTTCAATGTTTCGCTTCCCTTGCCTTTCTTTATTTGTTTCAGACCAGACAGCTATATCTATGTTTCTTCCCATCATTTCCTGGATTACTTCTTGTTGTTTGTTTGATATACTTTGTACATTCCGTATACCAATATTCAGAGTCCATTTTCTTTGTCGATGTTGTTTCCCTTTTGAAATATCTGAGGCATTCCTATAACTGAGATTTTTAGCGATGTGATGTTTTACGTGTGCAGGGTGCTGGCCTACAGCACAACTCTCAAACCTGAAGGACCGGAGCTTTTATTTCAGAGGTTCCCATCCCTTAGGCTGATAGCTTCCACCGTAGCTTAAGGAGTCCAACCTTGCCCAAATCTTGCTAGTAGATTAAGGCTAATCCATTGGAATTGATATATTTATATTACCTTTTCCTGCCAAGAAACTCAAATGCTGACATAACAATAAGCTACATAGACAATAATAACTGTTTTGTGTTGGCAAGGTGGTTCTAAAAGATCTGTAAGAGGCAATATGTTTGTAACGTACACCAGGGTTGAGAAAGTATCAAAAAATTTGTGGCTTGGGTTAGTTTTAAATAGTGTTGCTTGTGTGACTTGTACTTCTACCAATTTACCCCTTTTCTTTGGAACTGGAAAACCCTTTTTGTGGGTCATGAACAAAAGTGAGTTCGACAGAAAACATTTCATCAAAGGCACTTTTACATGATACAAATTATCCAAGAATTTTTACATGCTGTTTTGCAGTGCATATTTTGTCAAATACCATTCTTATAAAGGGATATATTTAATTAGTTTGTGAGGAAATTCAGTGGAAAATGTTGTCATTGGTGTACGAAGGCACTTCAAAAGATATGCGGACTGAAGTCTTAAAAGAAAGTTGGATGTCTGGGTCCCCTTCAAAGTACTTTCCTTCCCAATGCTCACACTTGGTGTTTCCACTTCTTGAAACAGTTCTGGTACTCCTCTTTTGTGTTGTCCTTCAGCTCGTACGTTGCATTTGCGATAATCTCAGGAATTGTCTCAAATTTTCTCTCTTTCTGTGTCTTTTAAGTTTGCAGAACAAGCAAAAGTTGCAAGGAGCAAGGTTAGGTGAGTAGGGAGGGTGACGACGAACAGTGGCCAAAAATTCATGAGTTCTGAGAGCAGAATGGGCTGGAGAGTTGTCATGTTGGAAAAATCAGTCGTCACTCCTCCACATTTCTTGCCTTCTGTGATGGATGGCATTCCTCAGACATTCAATATAGTAATTTGGGTTCACTGTGGAGCCTTCAGGGAGATACCCGTGGTTAACAATATCCTTAGCATAAAAAAAGAACTCTCAGCATCACCTTGATCTTGGACTGAACTTGGCAAGCTTGCTGGGAATGAAAGATTTTTTACCCATTCACAGAGTCAGTTGGACTTTAATTTATCACACTCATAATTTATCACCAGTTATGATCCTTGAAAATACGTTTTTATCTTCTGAATTATCAAGCAGTTCCTGAGAAAGGTGGACACACATATTGTTCCTCCGTCATTAGGTGTGACACAAATTTCTCATCAACACAGTGCATCTTCAATTTCTCAATCAAAATCTTGTGCCAAGACTCTACTGATATCCCACCCTCTTCAGCAAGCTTCAGCAAGCACGGTCAGATGTTGATTTGTGTGCACCAGGATAGTGATATTGTTGACGTTTGTGTTGTCAGTGGATGTGGAAGGAAATCCAGAATGGTCCTCATCTTCATTGGACTGTTGACCATCTTTAAAATTGCTTTAATTTCAAGCACAAAATTATATGAATAGTAATTGTGTTTTCAAAAAATTGTACATGACCTTCTTTAAAGTTCTGATTTTTTTAGAAGATATTTTGTTTAAGACTGGGATTGAGACTTTTTCTCTACCTTCAATTTTGTAGTTTTAAAATGTTACCTTTTTGCAATTTCCAAATACACTAGTTCGCTAGAAATAGGACTAGCACCACTTTTTTAATACTCTTTGATATGAGGAGAAAATTTAATGAAAAATTTTGGAGCTGTTTTTGAGATAAAAAATCGTTTAAAAATTTTCGCAAAATTATGCGCAAACTACTCATTGTTTTGCAAAAATAGAACCTTATTTCAAGATGCCTTTAAAGAATAGATTTTATTAAGAAAAAAAGTCTCTATCTTCAATACTGTAGTTTAAAAAAACTCTGGAAAATCTGAATTTTTTGAAAAATCATGGATTTCAACAAAAATCAAGTTAAAGAAACAGCATATTAGGGAGAAAACTTTGAGTTGGAGAAGGGAATGTACTTAACTGGCTACAGATGAAAGACAAAATACACAAATTTAAAATATTCTTGGAGACCTAAAAAGACAGAAGAGTTAAGTGTGGGAGGAGGTCCAGAAAGTAACAATGATACAAGTGAAGATGAAGATGGTAAGAGACAAAAACAATGATGGTGATGATTATATGAAAGAAGGGAATAGTAATACGGACATAAACTTTCATCAACATGACAATTTTCTAGACAATAAGATCATTTGCAATTTTACTGTGATTGAATAATGAGAACTAGTTTAAAATTAACAAAAATCCTCGGGATGCCTTTTAAAAAATTAGTGTTAACTAATGTTCTATCATCTTATAATCAGGTATATGCAGAAAATTGCAATTCCGTTACCCTCTTGAACACACATCCTTGTGATTTGGTTTGTATGAAAAATTGCTTAATTTCACTGTTTTAATTTTTTTTTAGAGTGCAGAAATAGTGCTGATTATGTTGACTATTACAACACCAATTTATCAAGTGCTCCAACGAGCTTGCAGCAACATCAGCAGGCTAGTCAGGCCAGAAGTGGAGGCAGTATGATCATAGGATCAATGTCAGGTGAGTTTCATTTTGCTAAAGAGTTTTTCAGTTGATATTGCTGGTGTTCATTTAGTTTTCTTCATTTGTCTGTAATTGGAAATGAGTTGGGATTATTTGATCCTATACATGATTAGGCAAGAATACATTGCATAGAGTTAAGGACACCACTAGTGTTACAATTATGTCAGAAGTGACCACTTCAAGTACAAAATTTGAAAAATAATAAATGGAGATTTCCCTCTTGCTTCAAACTTGCAGTGTGTAGCACTAACTTTCTAATGGTGACAATTAGAAAAAAGATAATTTATTTCTTTTCCCATATTTTATATTTAAAGATTAAGCTGAACACATCTTGTTAATATTGGCATTGCAATAGTGTATAATGAACTTTTGTGGCTCTCTTTGGTCTCAAACAGGTTTAATGGGTAGAATAGCAATTGGTCATTACTGAGTCAAGTATGTTACCAAGTGCATTTTTCAAGTGGCCTCTACTAAAACTAAATATGGGTTTGGAAATAAATTATAAAATTAAATATTATTAAAAATATAAATTAAAACTTGGCCACTTTTAGACAAGGCATCAATTTGAAAGGTAGTGTGCTAATCGCTCATAGTGTGTGACATTGTGATTTTAGTACAAGTACTGTAGCTCAAGAATTACAAAAATGTAATTCATGAGCATCTGCAGGGTAACCTAACCTACACAGTTTCTTAAAATAGTGGTGGTGACTTAAAATAGTAGTAAAACTCTATTAGTTAAAGCTGGTTTATCCACCAACATTACAAAAACTTGTACAACAGTTTTGGGAAAAACATATCATTTCTTAAATTCTTGATAGTTATGCATTTGCAACTATTGCATTCTTGATGGTTTAGCATGTAACATGAATATCACATGTTGCTATGTAGAACAATCCCTCGATAAAAATGCATATTATGTTTGAAATTGTCATCCATTTCCATTTCTTTCAAATTATGACCATTTTCAATGCACCTAGAGAGGGTTCACTTATAGCTGTAAGTTAAGGCAGGCTGGACTTTCCTTATAGCAATAAGGAATTTATTTTGTGTGTTGCAACTATGAATTGAAAACCGCTTTGAGGAACTCTTAAGAGATATATTAAGGTATAATAAGATTTTCCTTATTATAAGTGATGACTATAAATAGGACCCTAGGTCTCTTTTGTAGTATGTTGAGTTGACTTGATGCAGTGAAGAAAATTACTGTCTGTGCACAGGCTCTCATCTGACGGGTGGCCCATTGGGCAGTGGGCTCCAACACCCTAGCCTTGCCATGCCGAACAGTGCCACCCTGCCCCTGGAGACGCAGCATGCCTCACTTAAGCGCAAGAAGGAAGCACCCCCGCCTCCACCTTTGTACTCCCCCATTGTTGAAAAGTCAGAGGTATGTAAAGTACATGCTTTTTCATTTTCCTCTGGACACATATTGCATGAAACTCCAGTGCCTCTTGGTGTGTGTCATAAATGGTGCTTGTTCATGAAATTAAATTTGCAAAAACTGTCTGGCTCTGACCCGAATAATTAGCGATGTCTCAACTGAAGTAGCTGAAAATGTCTTTATTGTATACAAACTACACTATGAAAATTTAATACAATTGTTGAGGACCTAGATACAATGAAAATGCGTGTATAGTTTTGTTTTTTGGATAAATTTAGAAGTCAAAGTTTTAAAATTGGAAATACCATTGTAGTTGTTAGTGTTGAGTAATAATGAGATTTGTTTGTAATGACAAAATGTTTAATTAAAGAAGAATTTGGACAAATATTCATCATAGTTAACATATTCAACAGAATTATTGCATAAAATGAAGCTGTGTTGTTAAAAAGAGAAGTTAAAATAAATTACTGTAACCACAGTTTGAAAGAGAGTGAAATGAGATTAGGTGGAAATAGAGTATTTTATTTAATAGACCTTTTTCTGATCATTATTTTCTTCATCATACTCACCCTCAAATTAATTTTCACGAGACAAAATCTTTCATTCCTTTTAACATTTTCAGGTTTTATGACCTGTTAGGGACAGCATATCTATCCCATTTTTGTGTTTTCATTCATGAAAATCAAACATCATTTAATTTCAGGTCTTTGTTAATGAGTGCTTAAATATTTTAAAGAAAGTGAACAACACATAGAAGAACAGGAACCAGAAATTTAACAATGCCATCATTATTATGTATTTTCACAAATTTCTGGTTTGTAAATTAATACATTTTTGTACCTTTTCATCTCAAGGACATTGCTTTAAATACTAATTCCCAATCTTTTTTAGAGACCCACATTTACTCACATGAAATCATTGAGGGTGTTCTCTACTACTGCTATCTAATTACCCAGTGTTATTACATCTTCTGATCCCAGTGCTATTACAGCCCCTTCTGCCTCTGTTCTCTCCCACCCTGCCCCTCCTCTACCCAATCTGCCCCACTCCATTCTTCCTGTTACCTGCTGACCTGCTATACCCTGGCCCAATCCTTCTTGCCCACACCCTCCATTCAGCTGGCTCTGACCATCTGGACTATCATAACAAATCTGATAATGTGCACATTCCAGAAATAGTTATTACACTTAAAGAAACCAGAAACTACTTAAAATTGCACCTTAATTGTATATATGTATATGGTGTGTTACAACCACAGTTCAGAGAAAAATAACTATTTGAGAATGTTTTGTCTCTCCTGTAAAATGACATTCACTTCATATGGACTTTTGCCAGTTCAATGGCAACTCATAGATTCTTCCCATCTTCAATAATTCCAGCATGCCTGGAACAGCATAAGTTGACATTTATTATTGTTTCTAGGTCTTCAATTTCATAGAGTAACTCAGAATAAATTTAAAAAGCTTCAAAGACATCTAGAGGGATCAAAAATGATCACTTCTTTTTAATGAACATGCTATGGGAAATTTCATATAATGGAGTTATACATATTAAATTTGCCCCTGATTTTTAGTGCACTGGTGTTGGTCAGGCTCATGGAATCCCCTAAACTGGAGGGGGGGGGCAGATCGCCCCAGGCCCCAGGCTCATGGAATCCCCTAAACTGGAGGGGGGGGGGGGCAGATCGCCCCAGGCCCCAACTTAATTGGGGCCCTTATTTTTTTTTCATTCAAAATATAAAAAAAAAGTATTCATCTTTGATCCAAATTTAATGCTTTAAGTTATTTCTGATGCATGGAAAAATGAATTCTGTGTATGAAATGGGGGAAGAGCGAATGTTTTGTTTGAAACGGGGGGCTCCGAAGATCAACTGCCCCAGACCCCTGGTTTTCTCTTTGCACCCATATCAGGGGCAAATGTCACATGTGTAACCACATGTTCGTTGGCAAAATGTTGTCATTTTCAACCTCTCTACATGCTCTAGAAATTTGTCACAATTATTCTGAGACACTTTACATTGAATATATAATGCAAATTCATGCATGAATTTTAATTCAAATTGTAAATAGAAAAATAATTATGTTGCTGGTCTGTTATATACTGCCAATCATTGCAGTGCCTTCTGCATGAATTGATGTTTAATTTCTTAGTAGTGAGAAAACACTGTTACATTGCACTTTTTGAGTCTTTGAGAGATTAACTGAATAAACACTGTTTAGTGCCCTTTTTGTTTTATTGACTTTTTAATTTCAGTTGTATAATTTCTTCAGACCGGCAAAAATAAAAATGTTGTGAGTCTGCAAGTGTGCATGGAGGAGTGTTCAGCAATACCATTTTTGGTGGTGCTCTGAATGTCATTTCCCTCTTGTACAGTGACTTTTGGCACTGCTTTTTTCGTAATGATGCACCTTCAATCCTGTCAAAAGTGGAAGCTCACCCCTCGCTCACCCTTTCTTTAACCAACTTAAATTTATGCATGTGCTAATAACAATTTTATTTGTTTCTTCTGAAGAGCACCTCCGATTACATTACTCCATTCACAAATACTTCTTCAAAAACATGTGTAGAAACAATTATATTACAAATGTAGTGATGTTTTCTTGAAAATTTTGTTTAGAACTTAAGTGTGGTCAACTTCCACAATCTGTCAGTTGTCAACATTTTGAAAATTTTGTAAGTTCACTATTTCAGTTTAGAACTTTTGTACTCTAATATTTTCTTTTGTATAATGTTTATTTCTCGAACCTATTCTGAAAATACTCTGATTCTAAACCCTCATAAACTTTAATCTAGTTTTGAAAGTATAAAACATCAAAGATTCAAATAAGCCATCCTTTTTAATTTAATTTTGATACCTATATTAACTCATTTATGCCCAGAACTATTTTTTCAGGGTGATTTCTTTTAAAACTTGATATTCGGCTTCTTTTAGTATTATGACCATGTATAACAAAAACTTTTTGTCAGAAAGTAATTGGAAAGTGATTTTCTGGGATGGGTCCTAAATGGCCTAGTCGGCACATAAGGCATTAGAGAGAAATACTTTCCTTTTATTTTTTTATAGTCTGTTAAGATACACTTACAATACAAAAAATTGATATTTAGGAATGGAATAAAAAACAAACGCTTATCGTGAGGGAGGAACAAGTAGGGGAACTTTGTACTTACGTGAATTTGTCCAACCGGAAGCACTGTGTTATTGGTAACAAACAAATATTTGAGAATTGAAACCTACTTCTCTGCATTGCATTTTATACCATTGTGGGAGTCACGTACTTCCTAATACATTCGGCATTTTGAAACATGATTCAGTGCATGATTAGCGAGAGGAACTGATAGAGTGAAAGGGGCTGGATGGATGGGGCAGGAGTTGTTGGGAGGACGACCATGGTAGGCCAGATAGGGTGTGCAGAGGATTGGGTTGAGGCATAAAGAGCAGGAGGAACAGAGAGAGCTGAAAAGGGTTGGATGGAAGGTATTGGCAAGATGGCAGTGGCATGCCAGATAGGGAGTTTCAAACAGATAAGTAGTCCATTAAATGTACACGTAGGCTTCCGCAGCTTGAGTTCATGACTTCTAGGCTGTCCGGGTGACGCAGCGTCATTGGTAGAGAGGCCGACGTTTCGCCTGTCATATCGCAGGCTTCTTCAGGGTAGTGAAGGTCAGTAGTCCATTAAGCAGCAGAAATGTAGATAATTCTGCAAAGGAAACCAGAAGAAGGAAAGTTTTTAAGGACAGTTTTAGGTATAAGAAGATTAGACGAAAACCAAAATAAAAAATGAAAGACTTATCAGGAAACAAAAATGCAGAAAACTTATCAGAAGAATTAAAAGAATAGCTAAAAAAATGAAGAGAATGGACAAACAATTAATTTTACACATGCTTTAAAACAGAGATTCCCGATCTTTTTCTTTTATCAACGTCTTTTAGAAGATTTGTTTACTCCATCGACCCTCTTACATTATTCTCTCAAATGTACAGCATACATAATCATAATAAAATTTTCAGATGAATGTCTTAAAGATAAATTTCATTCATCAATATTTTGGTAAATATCTGATTTGCAATAATTGAAGATGCCTCTACTTCTGAGTAGGTGGTCTTCATTGTTGTGCACTGATTAGAATATGTTGAGCACTTTTTATTTGTCCGTAATATTTCTCCAGTATGTATTGCAGGGAATTTTTTCTTTTGCAATAGAGAATCTATGTCTGTAGATAGTAATTTGTGGAGTTTTCTAAGCAGTTGTGGAGGTAGGTGCATCAGCCTAGCTATGCCCATGATCCTAACAATAAATGACAGTTGCAAAAGGAGAGGAACGAATTTGTAATTTTTTACTGTATGCTGTGTTACTTTGTTTCAGAGAACAACTGTCAGGTTCATTCATATTTTTTTTATAACCATTGGGATCATGATTATTCCTATTAATTGCTGGTTCAGACTCAGTTATTGACCTTCAGTCAACCCTTTGACCATCATTGACTCCCTTCATAGTTTCATGGATCCCCCAAGGGGTTGATACTGATCCCGTTGGGAAACTCTGCTTTAAATTATAGACCAGAAAGCAAGAGGGACAGAGGTAGACCAACAAGAAAATGGCACGAGCAGGAACACTTGAATGCTTGAAGGAATACTGATTCTTTAACTAAGAGGACAGGAAAATCATTCCTATACCAAGAGCTTTGCCAATAATAATTATCATGATAAGAAAAATTAAATGTAGACAATTTTATTTTAAAAATTGAAAGAAGAAGAGATACTCACTGACTGAAAATGTGAATAGAATGTATAATTCATATGTAGATCTGTGAATTGTTGCTTCTCTATACTATGAACTGTTATTTAAAAGATGTGTTTGGAAATTTTACCACTAAAGAACTGGAGGTGGGGCTACAAAAATAGATACTAATGCAATTCATGCATATACCCTTAATATTAGCAGACATTAAAATTAGCTGTGACATTTCATGCATTGTTTTCTAAACTAATATTGCAGCTTTAACATTGTTATGTCTTAAATAGTTTTTGTATTCTGGCTTCCTATTGCCCTTATTAATTCATATTGCCTTTAAATATTACTATTATTTTTCTAAGAAAACTTCAATTACACTTTGGGAATGTATTCTGTTGCATTAAAAATATTGAGTGCTGTTTAATTCTAGCTTCTTTTCCACTGCAATGGTACTTGTGCAATGGATGTTTTAGTTTGCCATGTACATTATGTTCTCTTGAATTTGGTTGTATGTTTTTCAGCTACGATTATCCACCTCCCCCCAAACCCTCCCTGTGGCTGTTCCTTTGTATCAACACAATAAATGTGTTAGTAACAATGGCAGTAGCAATACCTATCGACCCCTCTCCCTGCCAGCACCAGCCCGCATGGACCCCGAGCACGGAGGCACCGACGCCAGCATGGTAGCCGGTTCACTTCAGGTCAGTATCACCAATCTTTCGCTCTTACTCAGGGTGTTTTTGACACTTCTCACTGGTAACCAATAAAGTGTGAAGAAGGAGGCAGCAAAAATTCTGCTGTGTAATCCTTGCTTTCTTGCTCATATTAGACAAACTCTTTCTTGCCCGTTAATGCTAATTAAGATTCAATGAAAATAAGTCAAAATTAATTTAAAACTACATTGGAAATGTTTGTAAAATGCTCCCACACTTCTTTTGATATTAAATTATTAATTTGTGTAAACTTTTTCTATAATGTTGAAGTTTCTGAAATTATTTGTTTTAATGATTTGGAGCATTGTTGAACTACCTGAGTCACTGAGCTCAAAACAATTTACACTACTGTCAATTTCCAAATGCAATGTGAGGTGTCAAAAAATAGCTGTATTAAGGGTGAATGGACTGTTGAGTTATGTTCAATGTAGCTTCTGTGTAAGAACAATGGGTGATGGTGAAGGAGAAACTTCAAGGTTAGTTGTGTGTAGGATTTTTGTTCAAGATCTGTGGGTTCGTAATATCACCTGTGAAACTGCTTTGTATGCTTGTTTGAATTAATTACAAATCAGTTCATATTTTCTCTGAGTTAAAAGATATTATTTTCAATATTGTTGCTGAGATTATTGCATTGCATTATATGAGACCCTTTGAAACTTTTTTCTACATTGAAAGTAGAAGTATTGTGCATGTTTATGGTTTACCTTTCCTTGGAAGGATCTTGTGGCTGTCATTTATACAAAAATTTAATTGTGTATAGTTTTAGTATAATTAAGTAAATAGTAATGAACTTGTGACTATGAAGTTCGAATGCCACTGAGCAACACATAAATATATTACAAAAATTCAGTCTTTAAGAATTTTATGAATTTGTTTCATAATTTTTTTTAATGTATATAATATTTATCTGTTACTTTTTTTATCTTGAACTAAATAAGACATTGTGAAAATTATTAGAGAATTCCTAATACAGAATTTTTTCATAATTGTAATGGTTACATAATAGTTTAATTTTTGCTCATGCTGGGATTTGATCTTGCTTACTGAAGCTTAGCAAGCTATGAGCATATCCACCGAACCAAATTCCACAGGTTACCTAACAATCGTTCCAAAAATTTAAAAAGAAAATTAAATAAGTGCAACTAATTGAAATACATTTTACATGACATTAATTAAAGATCTAATTCTTAAAAGCACATTTTATTAAGAAAAATATATGTATCTTAAATATTGTAGTTTTAGGAACATATAGAAAAAATTAGAATTTTTGTGAATGATGGTACTTTGTTCTATGTGAGAGAAAAAATTAATACAAAACTGTTTAACCTTTAAGAGAGAGAAAATTGAAAACATTTGTGTGAAATACCCCCCAAAATCAAAACATTCGTTTCAAATTCACACGATGTCAAGTTCAGCTAATCAGTAAGCCAAGTAGACCAATCAGGGAATACCCGTTTTGGAGAAAATTTTGTGAATGGTGTATTGTGTGAATAGTGAAAATGTGAAATGTGAAAATTTTGTGAATAGAATTTTGCAAATCTAAAACAAGTGTTTGGAATTAATAAACTTAAAATTCTTTAGATTGCTTGCAAAGTATAAATCTAAATTACCAAACTGAAATATCATTAATATTAAAGTGAATGAAAGTGGGCCCAGATGGATCCTTGTGGCACACCAGAAAGTATTTTAATATCACCAGAAATAAAGTTATGAAATTTAACACACTAAACTCTGTTATTCAAGTAGCTAGGTCAGTAAAGAACTCAAGATACTCAAAGCTAATAATTTATATGCAAACAAAGTTTGATTTACTGAATTGGATACTTAACTGAGTTTTCACCTTAACACATCCACTATACTCGTTTTGTTGCTGTTAAAATGTATGAATGATTTTACATATGAACACAATTGAAAGATGTGGTTTGTGGTCTTCAGATGTTCTACCTTATTGATTAGAAGAAGTTATGTCAAAGTGAGTGTACTTCTGTTCTGAGGAAGTTATTAACATTGATACCAATGTCAGTTATATAAAGGATATCCCCATCTCCGTACAATGTTACATTTTCTCAGTGATAAATTTTGCTTTTCTCAGTTTTAATCTCCCTTTTTTTTTTAAATTTAAAATATTCAAAGATAAATGGATATAATTATATCAAAATAATGCTTTACTTTGGGAGTCTAGTAAAAATTGCAAAGTGTTGGTACCTTTGAGGTTACAATTACACTCTCTGTTGATTCCCTACTTCCCTTTGTATCTCAAATTGTTGTTATTAAGTAATTGGAAATTAAAAGTTTTTAAAAGAAACATTAGGAGCAAGAATCAGTTTGGTCATAATCAGCCAACGGACTGTCTAGCCTTGAGTGATGGTTTAAACAAAAAACGTTGCTTTTAAATTGATCGAAATACAAGTGAAATGAAGTTGAATGAAAAACTTTGTTTTAAATCATGTTGTGTAAAAAATACTAATTACTTTGGATTAAGTTTCCTCAGTTTCTTGTTGTACCTTATCATTTGCTTAAACTACAGAGATTTGTTTCAAACTGTGAATGACTTAATAGTAACAAATAGTTGTAAATAATACTTTAATACTAATATGGTATGAAAAATGTTGGCAAATAATTTTCTCTTTTTTAGTGTTTTTTACGCATTCTCTTCTTTCAGTTACCACGTGTTGTCTTGACTCGGGATAAAAAACTGCCTTCAGAAAGTGACATTGAAAAGTATGCACAGGATAATCTTAATATCCATAAAAAAGGAATATTTCGTAAAAAGTTTTCTGTGCGAGATATGCTGTCATGGTCAAAAGATCCTATACGCAAACCTATGTTGGTTGTATCAGACAAAGCACTGAAGAAGGAGGCCTGTGAACTTTTCAAGTTGGTCCAGATTTATATGAGTGATCGTAAAGCAAAGTTGGGAATGACCTTGAACAGTGTAGCATTAGATATATGTAATTTGGCGTATAGTAAACCTGGATTACGAGATGAGCTTTACATTCAGATTTGTCGACAAACTACAGAAAATCCACGCAGGTAAGTTATGTGTGTACATGGAAATTGTTTCATTGTGGGTGAGAATTTTCAACATCCATGACATTTCTTAATGGGGTTGTGTAATTCTCTATTCTTAAGTTTTTCTGATTGACTGTTTTCAATATTTCCATTAATGTCATGGCCATTAAAAAATGTGTTAGTAAATTTTGTTAAACCCCTTCCCTTCCTTATGTAACAACTTGAAACACTTATTGGCCCCTTCCCTCTTTGAATTAAATAGAAGTAATTTTGTTAGACATTGAGTGAAATTTTATATATACCAAAATTTAATTTTGCAAACTAAAATGAAGATATATTTTTGATTTATTTCAACATATTTATCAATTTTTAAATAAAAATTATTTATATACAATTGTTTTGATAATAATATAACAAATATTGCAAAAACATTGTGGGAACATTTTTTGGCCCTCAATTCCTTCCCCGTTGTCCCATTTCATCATGGTTGGGTTTCCCCCCCCCCCAACTCATTTTTTTTTAATAGTCCGTTGTAAACTATTATAGTTAAAGATCAAACATAAATATTCTGGGAGGGAACATTTGTACTCAAGAGTATTCACTCTTTTAATTCCTTAAAATTAACTTTTGAATCAAAATCGTCCTAGAATTTTTCATCGATAATTCATAGTTAACATAATATCTGAGCATAGTTATTGTAACTTTTGCTTTATTTTAGTGGCAGTTACATAAAATTATGTTGTGATTTGAAACTTGAGCAACTAGTGAAGAACTCTTTTTGGGTTTCAGAATATTTTGCTATAGCGGCTGAAATTCAGTGATTTTGAGATGTTTTGTTTCTAATTTGATTTTCGGTGATTAGAAAAATAATTACATGCTATATTTATTGTTTTTAAAGAGGTGATTACATACAGCACACACTGTAGCTACAAGAGAGATTTCTTGCTAAAAAATTAAAATTATTTAGCAATCAATCTTGATTCCATTCAGAACATTTTAAAGAAATGGTTATCTCCTTTGTGTATTCAGTGGTAGACTGGATTAACCTTTAACATGATGTTGACATGTGTTATTTACTGCAGAAATGTTGAAGTTTAGATCTCAATTTAAAAATATATTTCATAAGTAGGAATAATTTGTTATAAATTATATGAAAATAGTTTGCATTAAATGCCAATTAATATAGTGTGTGTATGAAGAACATTTGAATTAGCCAGCTTGTTTTTGTGGTATGTGACTGGTATGTCACACCAGTCTCATTTTAGGTAATTGTGTGCATATGTAGTTATGTTAAATCTGATACTGTAGGTATCAAATTTGTTTGTAAATATGTAATGAAAGATTACAAAAATTAGAAACAAAGGGAATACAAAATCAAATTGTTGTGATCCACCTATCAAGAAATAATAAGTGAGATGAAGAAAAATGTTTAGTTAATAGTGGTAATATTAACTAGTAATGTAATTCACGTAAATTTAGATTCAGAAAAATGTGTTTTAAAAGCTTGTTAAATTTCAGCTTGGAGGATTATATGTTAATGTGCTTACATCTTTTACACTTTGTTCTTTTAGAGAAAGCTTACGTCGTGGTTGGGAACTTATGGCAATTTGCTTGGCATTCTTTCCTCCTTCTCCAAAGTTCCAATCCTACCTGGACAGTTATATGAATCGACATCGTGATCCAAGTTTTGATTTCCCAGAAGTAGGAAAGTGGCCAATTCATGTTCAAGTGAGCCATTATGCCACTGTCAGTTGTAAGCGTCTGGAACGCATAGGTGTAACAGGCAAAAAATCACCCCGGAAACCTACCATAGATGAGATTGAACAAGCAAGGGTAAGATTTGTATCACAAATAAACTTGAACAAATTACCAGTGTTTGTGAGGGAAATCATTAATTTTGCTACCTCAATCCGCAGTTGCAGATTTTCCGGCCGAGCATGTTTGGAAGTACATTACAGGAAGTCATGGCTTTACAAAAAGACAGGTATCCCCATCGTAAGCTACCCTGGGTACAAACTACACTTTCAGAGGAAGTCCTCAAATTGCAAGGGGCACAGACTGAAGGAATCTTCAGGTTAGTATTGAACTACCATTCTCAGTTTTGTGGAGAGATAATGTGGTCATAATTGTCATTAACATATTGGGTTTAGACACAATGATTTGCCCCTCTCATTACACCATTTCTTGTCGCTACTGTGTTCTGGTTTATGTTTCACTTATCTTCCTCTTTGGTGGCACAATAATTCAAATTATTGATTACCAGGGTGTCTGCTGATATGGATGAAGTCAATAACTTGAAGTCTCGGATTGATCATTGGGAGATCCCCACAGATACAACTGATGGACATGCTCCTGCATCCTTACTGAAACTGTGGTATCGGGAACTGTATGAACCTCTTATACCAGATTCAATGTATAATGACTGTGTGAATCATCATGCTGACCCAGATAAATCAATTGCAATTGTTAATAAGCTTCCTGAATTGAATCGCCTAGTCTTGTGCTATCTCATTCGTTTTCTTCAGGTATGAATCTCTTTTTAATATCTCTGACTGATTAATTATGTCTGCTACATTACATTGCTTCATCAAGTGTTTTATTTCAGATCTTTGCACGAACAGAAGTAGTACAAATCACCAAAATGGATGCAAGTAACCTTGCAATGGTAATGGCGCCCAATTGTTTACGATGTACTTCAGAAGATCCTCGAATTATTTTTGAGAATGCTCGTAAAGAAATGGGTTTTATTCGCACATTGATTCAGAGTTTGGATACCAGTTTTATGGAAGGTGTATACTGAAAAAAATGTTAAAATTTTCTTTTAATCAGGTACTGATGAAACTGAAAGTAGTACCGTGACTCAATTTTATATTGTATATGGTAAGAATGTTATACTGGTAGTTAAAACTGCCTGGTGATTGAAGTTTTATGCTGCTCATGAAATCCATATTCTCTATGAGCTCTGTGATCTGATTTGACTGTACTAAATCATTTCAGAAAGGTAAGTTACCTTTTTATCTGGGAATGCATAATTCTATGAATTATGTTATTTGAAAGGTCTATTATGTACCCGTGAAGGTGAATTTGGAATGTTCATCATTACAATTGTCAGAAATTACAGCTCTCAAAGACATTGCAGCTAGTCAAATCAAGATGTATATATTATAGCATCACCAATTTTCAAGTGAAGAGAGAATGTGCAAAGCAATTTTTTTTTTCTAGTATCATGCAGCATGCAGTGCAGTAACACACTGATGCTAAGTTATTTATTTATTCATCCATTTCAATTCTGCCAATATTTATAGATATGTTTTCCTTTTTAAGGTAATGGTTTTTTTATAGTTAGTGTAATGCACTTGAAAAGATTGCAAAGGCATACCAGAAATGATTGGTTTCACAGACTATAACCTGTGAGTGAGGCTTTGTATTTCTTATGATAAGCACAGATGATATTTTAATGTTATGTTGCAGTAAGAATATTTGATCTATATTTTTATTATGGCCTTTTAGTGTCCATAAGAATGTGAATAAATTATTCAAAACAATTTGTTGCCATAATTGCATCTGCACTTGACTGAGTTCTAGTGTAATTGGAGGAAGAAAAAAGGGGTACATGCCAATACCAAAGTCAAGTATTCCATATGGTTGTAAAATGAAACATAATTGCATAATGTATGAGTGAGTGAAATTTGTAAAATGTATCTGAACTATGCATGTTCCTGAGGAAATTTTGAACAAAAATGGCATCAAGTCATCTCGCAAAGTAGAGAGTTGATTTGTTAATGGTACTATTATTATATGTTCATCATTGAAAAATGAAAGGTTAAATGTTAACCTTATGTAAATGCAGGTTAAAAAACCTGAAAATTAATGTTTTTTCTTGCCAAAAATTATATGCAAGTTGATGAGAGAGCATTGTCTCTACAGTTACATGTTGAAAATTCTAAATTTGTCTGTTTTGTGCAGTGTTAAAATTATGAGAGTTTTTCTTATTTTACTCATATTTTCTTGTGTTTCTGCATAGAAACATTTTTGAAGTCATTAATTTATTTTTGTAAGAGCTTAATTGTTTTATGGAAGAAAGATTCAACAATTTATGATGTACAATTTGTACTCTTGTATCTTTATTTTACTAAGATTTTTGACTTTTTTTATTATTGCATTGAGTATTGAGGGGAATAATTAAAAAAGTCACTGATTTTATAACTGGTTTAATTGTTCACATATTTAATCATTCCAAAATAGACTGATTGATGAATTTCATTTTTGGCATATTATTGGTAAACAAAATTTGTCTAGTTTAAATTATAAATTTGAAGGAATTAACAAAACGTTTTAATTTTTTTTTGTTGTGTGTCTAAGTATGAAAGGCTGTTCTCTGGTATTAAATAGGCATATAAGTTACTTTTCTTTCACACCTGTTAGTTATGAACGTATATAAAAATTGTTTATGCTTAATTGAAAGTGTAGAGATAAAGCAAGACCTAGAACATTTGGTCTTTCAACATTTTGGGGGACTTAATAAATCTTCATGCCAGCATAACTACCATTAAGTAATATATTTTTTGATATTTTTGTTTATTTTTTTAACTTTCAAATACATTTAATGTATTTGTTTACACAAAAAAATTGCCAAATCCATTCTGCAGGTACGCAGAAATGTAATTTAGATTTTATCTTCTGCTCTCTCTCTCATCTCAGAGACAGCAGATATATGCAAGAATATGTGGGTGGCTAGCATTATGAAATAATGCTTATCTGGGGGCTCAAATGTGTCAGAATGTTTTAAGTCCTGTGTAAATATTAAGAGATAGTACTTTCTTTCCAATATTCAGAAGTTGGGACTGAAACTTTCCATGAGCTCGAAATGGTCAATGTACATAATGTGAGCCTGAGCTGTCAACTATTGTTATAAATACTTTTCTCAATTTATATCAGAAAGCAATATGTACAATAATATAAGTGTAGAATAGTAATTAAAGATTGTGACTGATAATAGTGTGTCTATGTATATCTTAATGTATATATATCCATGATCATATGCACTTCCATAGTCTTAAGAATTAAGTTCAGTGTTAAATTTGTATTCTTTCACAATACAAATGACTCGTATATTGTATACTTTGTGGAAATATTTATAATAATTTGCTTTTGCATTTAAAACTCTTCAAAGCTCAACTAGAGTGGTACTACACTGTATGTTGAATGATTTTTGTTTTTGTACATAATGGCAGAAATGGCGAAACTACTTATGCACAAATTAAACTAGTGAGAATTGAATACAGTTTATGTTGTGTAAGTACAATTCTGCTTCTTAATGAAGCAACTTTCCCAGTGAACTTCTGATAATCATAGATGTCAATATACATTAATGCGAAAGGTGTGTGCATCGAGTTTTGATGAGCTTCCAGAGATATACTTAGATATTGAGAGAATGGAGTGTTGCTTAAATTACTAGTCCTGTTATGTGACAAATTTGAAAATGCACTTTAATTTAAGCAGGTGTGCTACATCAGGGTCAGCAACCATACACCATAGAACACTCACAAGAGTCTCAATAATCTCATTATACCAAGTAAATCCATAATTTATTAGTGAAATCTTTTGTTAGAAAATTGTCATTTAATTATCACTTAAAAATCTTTCATTCAGAAAGATATTTTGAACATTTAAAATATACACAAATGACATAATCATTTTACTTATTTTGTAAGAAAAAGAAATGAAAGAAGCACACTTCTTTCCATGACATTCTAGACTGATCAGATTAGATTATTAGGTTTAAGAGTCCTGCCATTATTTTTTAAAGGTTTACATCTTTGTTTTAATGTATTATGATTGCTTTACGTTCTTTGAGTGACAAAGTAAATAAATGAAATTATTTAATTTTGTTGACTTATTAGTAATTTTGACTTTTGCATTGTTTTGGTTGTCGATCCCTGATCTCTTGCTCGACTTGCCTCTTGTTTACACATTTATTTTCCTTTAACAATGTTGAAGCATCAATAATTAATATTTATTAGTAATATTATTTGTACATTTTGAATACCTAATGCATAAGAGCATGAAAATCCATTTCATTCATCATTTATTAAAAGAATGAAGCGAATATATATATTTGCAGATTTAAAGTTTAACCTCTATGGTCTCGAATATTTTTCCTGAATGTATTTAATGTGTGAGAATTTATATTTATTTATAAGGCATGCGGATTTTATAGAAACGTAAGTTACGCAAGAGCAATATTGATTTTAATTTGAACAAATACCAAATACACTTAAAGAAAGGTTCAATTTACAAATGTCAGTTTACTGCTAGACATAATGAAATATTAATTCCACTTAATGCAGCTGCCACAATCTTTTATGCATTAAAAAATATGTTAGAGCTAAAAGGATTTTGTTATTTTTATAGTTGCCTGGGTGGAATAAAAATAGAACCTCCCCACTTTTTGGAAACATTTTTGTTATTGTTTCTGCTTCCTATGATTTTTGCCAAATTTTTGTTAATTTATGTAAAGATGGGACTGTTGCACAGAATGAAGTAGTTTGTATGGGATAATGTATATATTTGTGCCTAAAATATAATATGTATTTACTTAATGAATTCTGCTTATTGTATGTTTGGGAAAGATTGTATGTGAAACATACAAATAGATGTTGTAAGGTTGTGTTGGTCTGACTAGTTGACAGACATGCTAGATATCTATCTGTCAAAATTATCTCAGCCATACTTTGTGTTGTTTGTATATCAGAATTGATCAATAATAATGGTGCTTTAAATCTAAGGTTCCCTTAGTTTAGAATACAATTTTCCAAAATGTATATTAATGATTGTTACGGACAAGGTGGAAGTGACTGATGGACTAAATGATTCTGATCTAATTTGTTTCTGAAGAGATGAAGTGCATTTAAGTATGTCTCAACAGAGTACATAGGGATAAACAATGAAGAGCAGATTGTATTAGTTTTAGATGGCATCTGTTTTGTGACATTGGTCAAAATAATTTTAAGACCTGTATATTATTCTTTTTTTATTACACTTGGGACTTGAATAATCAAGATTATCATTACTACCATTATTTCTCAATGTATTAATTGGTCATTGCCAACCAATTAATAAAAACATACCAGCAGTAATTCAATTGTGCCTACACAAAGTGGAGGAAAACTCAATAGCTTGTAGGAAAGTATTTACCTTTCTTTACGGTTTCATTTGTGAATATTTTGTCAAATATGGCATCAGGGAAATAAATGAATTTCAATTAACTGTAAAACTACTGAAATAAGTTTTGAAAGCCATTTTGTCAATTTGGTGGATCCAAGAGGCTTATGAAATTTTCATGTATTTGTACAGATGCAAAATTGCACACATCAGCAATGAAAATAATTATTCTCTTGAGAAGTTGTTTGACAAGGTCTGAATACAGAAATGTAAATAGGGAAACATATGGTGACTAGCTGGGCTCATATTGTTTCTGCAGTCTCTTACTTGTGAAGACACAGAACAGTATGTGCCAATTTGGTAATTGTTATATATTTTTAAGACAGTGCTGTAAAAATTTGCACTTGTGTTCTTGCAATATTTACTGTTGCACAATTTCACGAGGAAAATGTTTTATTACAAATGGATGCAGGTTAAAGGCTATTTGAGAGGTCAATTCCCTGCATGGAGAAAAAGCATGATTTAATTCATAACAGGCTTGCTGATCAGATGCTCTTCCATAGTAGAAGCTGGGAACCAAGAAACTTGTTTTTTAATATTGTCAGTCTTAAATTTGATTTGCTTGTACGTATCTTTTTTTGATCAAAAGTTGTAGTGTTTTACCAGACTTAGGAAAAGCATTTATTGGAAAACAAAAAAGGGCTGTAGTTGTGTTCTTGCATTTCTGAGTACTTCAACATCAATTCATTTTGCTTTTCGTTACAAAATATTTCTTTGAAGATTCTGTCCTATTCCAATTGAGCAACTGATATGACAAATGCTACTGTGGAGATCATTCTTTTAGAAATAGGAACTAGTTTTATAATCTGTCAGACAAAGGGTGCTGTGGTATTTTATTTAAAATTATTTTATCTGATCAGAAAGTGACAAAGTGGTCTTAAAGAGAGTACTGAAGAATTGTTTAGTTCTTGACTGTGTACATACTTTTTGAAAAGCTACCAATGCCAAAGGTCTCAAAATCATGTACAGTTGTTGATGTATGGTGTAATGGTAAATTGCATGTACAAAGGTTTTGTTTTTATTTTCTTTAATATGAAATATCATTTTATAGTTTTACACTTTTCTAGTGTACAGTTCATAATTATTCTGATGTGTTGTCTTGTTTTAACAGTCATATCTTGTAGGATTAATGAATAATTTTAATGGATGTATGAAAGGTGGTTTTTGAGAAGTAACTTCTTGAACAGCATATCTATAGTACAGTGTACTGCTTCTGTGTTGCTATCTGTAATAACTGTTGTGTTCTAACCAGTTAACAGATAACCTTATGCCTGTGTTTTGTGCCAGCTGATTTTTATGAAATAGCTTCAGTCAAATTTTGGAATGTATGCTAATATTGTCAGTGTTGCAATTCATTTGATTGACTACTGTTTTAACTAAGAAACCAAGTGTTCATAACTTGAATAAAATGGATGAGAATGATTATCAATTAATATGCAGTATTTTTCATATAACTCAGCAAACCTTTTATGTTTCTGATGCAACAATAAAATTATGTAGCAAATTTTGATTCAAATGTAACATTTCTTTATCAAACAGAATAAATTTACACAAAGACAAACTAGAAAGAGGCATAATTTAATTTAACAATAATAAGTTGACTATTTGGTTTGATACGTAGCTGTAATGTGCTTTCTTAACGATGTTTTAAGTTTGAATTTCCTAATAACCGACCTGTTTTGACAAGCTTTTCTACCTAAAACCTATTCCTATTTACTTTGAGTTACCTGAAAGGGCAAGTTTTCTTGTTGTTTTAAATACAAACTATTACACACCACAAACACAAAGGGTTGCTGACTATATCCTGGCGAGACTGACTGAATTCCACGCTATCTTTTCATTACATTTGGACCTTCCAAAAAAAAAATATATAAGAAACTAAAACATGAATTTAGCATATTAATATTACAATAACTAGTTTTAATTGGCACATTTTCAAATACCTTTAAAGTATATATACAATTTTGCAACAAATATATATTTAAGATATTTCATGGGATTTACAATATTTTCAATTTATGTTTTTTCTCTCACCAACATAATGACGTGACCAATAAAAAGATTATCAAAAATGTTCATTGATATTTAACACCAACAATTAAGCTATTCTTTGGGGACAATACTGAACATTCTCCATGATTATACGAAAAGGGATACATGATCGAATTGAGGCACCAGGTTTAGAAAATCATTGCGTGACAAACATTTTAATTCTCTATATATTTTTTCCCCTACAACTACTATGACCTATGTTTCTATCATCACATTAAAGCTTCCCATGTTATGCAATTTCAATGCAAATAAGTTAAGCACAAGGATAAATACTGTAAGTTATCAATTTGACAAAAATAGTAAAGAGCAACATAATAGATTTATTGTATATAAGACCAAATATTTTTTTCTTAAGCCCCATCATATGACTCTCCAGTTCATTGTTTTTCACACTTTAAAACAGTAGGCAAATTTTTGCTTCTTTTCTTACCAAAAAATTGGGTTACATGATGTATGATGAAGCAGAATAAACAGATTCCTGAAGCTGCCTTCATAATGCACATAAAAAAGTCGTTAACATTTTATATTGAAAATAAATGTAAATCTTAACCCAATTCTTTACCCCAGAGTTGAACCATCATTAGTGACTTTTTTGTACTTCACGTTTTTTAATACAGTTGACATGATAATCTGTGCAAGGGTAAAGTGTAATAATCACATGTGATAGGTTAAATAAACTCATCAGATGATTCTTTTTGTTCTGTAATTCTTTTTAATGTCACTTACAGTTAGAAAAAATTATCTGAAACTGTCACAAATACAGATACCTGATCTAGTACAACATATTCATCTTTCTTTTGTGATGCAATTCCTGCAATAAGCTTCTCAAGCACAAGTCTGCTCTCAGAGAATGCAGTACTCAAACAAAATTACAAGTAGTGTAAAAAAATATGTTAATCTCATTAAAATTTATTTAGGACCTTTTTCTCTTAGTCTTTTCACAAAAGAGACACATGACTTATTGTGGATTCCATACTTTTCCAACAATGACAAATCATCTTTCAACTTCTGGCCCTCAAAACAAAGATAATTTGTCTTCCAAACATATCTCCAACTTATTTTTACAGTGGATCTCTCCCTGGCTAACTTTAAGGCAAAGTACCTTTGTAATGCATGTTTGAGATCTAATACTCGAGCTCCTCTTTGTCGAACCTGCAATGGAAACACTGCACTTGAGAGAAAAAAATGAACCAATAAAATTTATTTCTATCTTTAACAAAAAATCATGATAAATAAAAAATTCATGTTGTGAAACAAATGATAAAAGTTGGTTTTAGCTGAAAATGAATAAACTTCTAAGAACTGGAAAATAATACTATAATGTATAACTCAATTCCAAATAATGAATTTGATGCATTCAGCTAAGAGAAATGATTGGTAATATTTTGAAAGCGTGTTACACAAAATGAAATTATTTATTCAAAGCTTTTATGCTGGGAGAAAAAAAAAATAATAATAATAATATGCACAACCATTTTTACAATGTTAAAAATCAAAACTGATTTCCCAACTGGACAAGATAAAGAGTTACCACCCCTTCAGGTTTGATCTAGTATGTCTAATCTCTAGGCAACACATAACTTATTACTCTTATAATCTCCAGGGCATATTTCACACAATTATAACTAGGCCTACTGATATTGAGGTAAAACCTATTTTTTCCAGGGAATCTTGTCCTAAATAAAGTTTTATATGTACATTTTAGATATATTTGAACCAAAACCTGTCAATTTTACAGTGCCTAAAAGAGCCTATTTCAACATTAATGCCTATTTAACTTTTAAAAACCTAAAATGAGACAAATTTGTCTAATTTCTTTAGTCTGTGGCTTCTTTTAACTTTTCTCTTGTGTCGGCACAAAGCACAAGGATGATATTTTATTTCAAGTTCCATTAATCTGTAAGATAGCGAGAAATGAATATACAGGACAAGGATCTTGCAATAAAAATCTCCATGCCACTACTTCTCGACTTCATGGGGAAGCCTTCCTTTGCATCTAAGATAAAGCGATTTAATTTCCACAAAGAAAAGGGATTTTAATCGATAAGACACATTTATTTTCACTTAAAAACTTCGAGAAAGAATTAGTAATTTATTGTGAGGCAAAAAAATGTACTAATAACAATTAAACTTGTTCATAAATAATTTTTATTGCAAAATATTCAATACTGATTCTACAAAAAAGCATTTAATTTATCTTCTTTACGAATTCAAATTATTCCCTTCAAGTTCTTATTTTGCACTATTGCACTTTAGTTAGGGGCAGATCGAATAATTTTGGAGGGAGCCATCATAGATTTTTGTTAAATAATAAATATTTATTATTGCATTGTAAATTATTTTTGTAGTGTATATATGATACTAAACAACACTATTTTTAAATAATTACATAATTCTAACATAAATATCTAAATCAAAGAAAGTAACAAATAAAACTATTGAAGGGAGGGGCATGCCCACTGATAGGCAAATGAAATTAACACTCATAGTAAGTTGCACTGTGTGTTCATGCCAGAAGTTACAACCTTCCAAAAAATGACTTTATCAAAATATGCAAATATTCATAAATTTGCTCAAATTTTGAGCAAACTTGCTTCTATTAAAGATTCCAACAGATTTTAGAAAAATCAGCTTAATTGTTGTATTTGCTGTTCTGCACAAAATATTGAGTCACTTTTACAAAATTTTGAATTTTACACCAGTCAAGTTTGTTATAAAAACATTCTATTAATTGTCTTGTCTTTGTTCAAACTTTTTCTCTACCTACTCTCCCCTGCCTCTCAATTCATTGGAATTAGAGATTTTACTCTGAACTATTGAAAGGAAAATAAATAGAAAGCACCATTCAAGAGAGACAAAACAATCTGAGAAAGCAAGGTGATCCTCAATTAATGGATGAAATTCATGGATTCATTTGCAATGAAAAATTGCAAGAAGTCTTAAGAAGAGAAGAAAATTGAGCGCCTGGGAATAGATAAAGTAAACTCATAAGTAATTGAAGATGGTGGACCCAAATGACACAACCTTATAGTAGACTTCAGCAAAATATAGAGAGAACATAGTATACCCACAGAATGGGAAAAAGGTATGATTATACACCTACATAAAAAACAGGTCAGGGGAATATACTTCCTATCATCAGCCTCAAAATTATTTGCCAACATGATTAGAAACCAACTTAATAAATGCTGTAAACAATGCTTGGAAAAGAAAGCAACAGCTTTTGAAAAGGAAAGAGCACAACGGATAATGGTCAAACATACAGAAACGAACAGACCAATATGCCTTTTATTCATAGACTATATGAAAGCATTATGGGAGAAAAAGAAAAGACAGAAGGGAAAAAGGGAAATTCTTAAAGAGAAAGGCATCGCAAAACATACTTAAAGCAATAAAAAGTTTGTATGAAAACTCAAAGATGCAAATAAGACTTGGCAACCTAACTTTACAACCCATTCAGTGGTCTGAGGCAAGAGTAAGGACTCTCACCACTCCTATTCAATATGGGCAAGAGCAAGAGGTCTTGGAAAACAATATCCAGAAACTCAACAGAATAAATGGAATAAAAAAATGTTTTTGAAAGGATATGAAAAGCAACAATGCACACAATACAGAAAATAGCAGCAAAGCCAGCATATGCATCAGAAACCTAGACCATGAGAACTAGACACCAGCAAAGATTAGAAGCAGCTCTGATGAGGATCCTATGAGGCCTAGTCAGAGTAACAAGACTAGGTAGAAAGATCAGAAAATTATTGAAAGGAATGATGATATAAAGGAATATCAAAGACAATGGTTGAAAAGCATGGAAATAATAAAAGATAATGAGTATTACCAAAGTTAGCACTGAAATACCAACCTAAACCCAAAGAAAGTGTGAAAGGTGGCGACAATAGGATCTCCTTGTTGGAACCAAGCCTATTACACATAGGACTGGGCATACCTGAACCCCCTACTATTAAGTTCATGAAGTAGAGTAAAGAACCATACCACCACAGGAATTTCTTCCCCAGCTTCCCTTTTCACATATATTGTGATTGACTGGCCATGCTGTAGAGCTATTTGTTCCTTAACTTCTTCTACAGTAACACCCTTTGGTAAATCACTTAACAGGGGATCCTTTTTTATAATGTCATTGAGAATGGTTGCAGACACTTCCAATATTTCCTCATGACTCAGATTTTCATGATCACTGCCTGAATCAGAAGCTGCATTATCCGTCATTGTGTGAATGAAATAAAAGTTATTGATCTGCTAATTATTTAAATTTAGTTATAACACGAATCTGTAGCCAGCTAAGAAAAAACACCATTGTATAGGGTGATTTGTATATAGTTCCCTTCTCTCAAGCCCCGTCTTCACCAGAACTTCACGATGAAATCTGGATGGGAATCCCATCATGGGATACGTCACGGCATTTCGCGTTCTTCTCGGTCATGCCGTACGATGTCGCATGATCGCCACTGACGATTCGCCAGCACTGCTCGATGCGGTTGCGATCAGATCCGACCTGAAATTTTAAAAATGTGAGAAAAGTGCTGTTGAAAATGTTTGTAAAAACTCTTCCTTAGGTAGCTAGCTTCTCAAAGAACCAATTTGTTGCTATTTGCAGGACATCTACTGTTTCAAATGAGAGAATTTGGAAACTTATAAGGCTAAATCAGTCCAAAGGGAAACGTTCGCGCGCTTCGTAGAGGGTTGGGACCAGGGACGAGCAACACCGCGCGTGTAGGGCGCTTCATTTAAATCGAGTGACAAGAAATTGCATTCCTTTGAGTCTTCTGGGGCAAGATCCTCACTCCTAAAAAACATTGTATTTGAAATTAAGGAGATATTTAGCATATCTGTAATGTGATGGGTATAATGATTTGTGCAATCTTAGTGAAACACTCAAATCAATATTCCAAATGAAACACTTTGTTATAATTACCTAGGGGGAGGTGTATGGATGATCTTTAGAGTTTATAGACTTTTTGCTCCTGAACAAATGATTACCTTTTATTTAATTATTACAATGATTAATTATTCGAAAATGATTAGTATTATATTTTATTATGTGATATACATAGTGGATTGTCATTGCCTCCTACACCACAGTTGCAAGATACATTACACAGGTCTCAAAGCAGAAACTTTTAGCTTAGGTCAGCACCTCAATGAACTTTTTAGTGGCATCAAATGTGTTGAAATGATAAAATACTTTTTTGCTTATGTCAATATATATTATTCAAGGTAGAGGTAAATGCAGAGCTCGATCTCCCTACTAGCAAAATATGAAGGCTTGGGATTCCCTTCTCAGTGTCTGAATTTTTTAAAATAAATATTCTTAAAAACATCGCAAAATGTTTTTTATCTGAATAGTAATCATTAATCAAATAGTTTACTGAACTTTAAAATTTGAATTTAAAAATACATTGATTGGAACAATAAGAAACTAAACATGTATTTGTAAATGAGAAATTAAAAATGTAATTTCCCTTTGTAAGCAATTTGTTAGTTTACATCTACATTTGATTTGTTTAATTAAACAATTTTTTTTTTTTTTTTTTTTTTTTTTTTTTTTTTTTTTTTTTTTTTTTTTTTTTTTTTGAGGGAGTGCCCTATACAATTTTGTGCTTGGAGGTCTACAGTATCTAAATCCAGCCACGAGAAAATGAAATTGAAATTGTAAGAGGAATGATAAATTCAGTCTTTGGTAGTATTAGTATTTTAATCAAAACACCTTTTCTCTAAAGCACTATATTTTGTCTAATTGTTTGCATTCCCTGAACAGTAGTAATGCATTTTGAATAAGTCTCATGTCTTATTTCCAAAACATCTTTTCATTTTGAGTGCAACATCAAGGCAAACAATGTTGACCATGCTGCTTGGAAATCTCTTTTAAAGATTTTACCTCCTACAATGTTATAATTTTATTATTGAGGGTCTACATAATGCAGCTCTCAGATTTACATGATGCCGTAAATTCATATTTTTAGCTTTAGCTTGATATGAACTTTACACAATAATCTGCATTTAAATCAATATCATAACAAGATACAAAATTATGCTGAAACATTGCAACCAGCAAATGGCTTCTATGAATTACGTATTCCATTGCTGCATATAATAACTGTTAACGTCTGCCAACTTACAAAATAAAGCTTTGTACAATGTTCGCCTCAGAATCGTCAAAATCAAGGCTATCTTTCTTAATACATGCATCTACAGAAAAACGTTATTTGCACTATCGTCTCCTACATTATTTCAGCAGTATATACACCTTTTCCGGCTTTCTCACGCAACCGATCTTTTTAAATGAAGTCTCCAAAGAAAGATAATTTAACGGAGACGTGACTAATTGCACTTTGACTTTCAGAATCTGAAGGATTTGTTTAACATCTAAGTATCTATCCATTTAACGCATTTAAATATTCATGCCAAATGCAATCCGCAGCACTCAGTTAGATATATCGTGAAATAACACATAAAAGAAGCGTTCTAGGTCTTTAAAAACTAAAATTTTTGAGGCCAAATGCTTCAAAGAAACGTTCAGCACACTTGGTATCTACAGAATGAGATATTCTTGGACATTTTGTTGAATTTTTATTGGTTCGACCCTTATCGATACTACCAATGCCACCTATATTTCAACCTTTGGAGACGGTCGCCACGCTTAAAAGGCTTGACTTTAGGTTCCTCTATCTTATACTATTTTCGCTTAAAAGGTTTGACTTTAGATTCCTCTATCTTATACTATTTTCACTGTGTACACCGTGGTTTGCGCAGACTGACGAGATTTATTTGCCTATTCATTCAGGATTCGCTTTCGCAGCAACAACTAGAGGTACTGTTAATAGTTGCTTGATACCGATGAAGATTGTTTCTTATGCGCCTAGTGAAAACATTCATTTCACCTTTTGCCGAGGTCTACAAGTGCTGTTTACCTAATTGTGGAGGGGTGTGAGTGTACAAGGAAGAGTGAAGACCGGTCTTGTTAGCTTTGGTTTGTTTTACGTGTGCCAGTATTTTCGTTATCAGCGGTAATTTGGTGAAACTTTCAAGCTAGCGTGTTCAGTCTCGTAGCTTTGTCAAGAATAAAAAACTATTTTTTGTGACTATTGTGATTGTGAGATTGCTAAAGCCATCTGTCAAAGAATATTGAATAATTACATCAAATATTTTTAAGGAAGTGTTGTCAATTGTTCCAAGAAATCTCTCGACAGAACTGAATGCATCTTTATTGAAAATTTCTTTTGAACATCAATTGTATTGTTTTTTTTTGATATTGTGTTAATACATTGGAAGTTACGTTTATACATTTTGAAACAAATAAATAGGTTTCGTTAACAACTGCCCCTCTTAGAATGGAAATAGAAGAATATGGAAGAGTGCGGGGGTTTATCATGCGAGAGTTTTCGCACGGGTATACGGAGGTAGTAGGGCGTGCTATAAGCCGACCAATCGTCCTTTAGGGAGGACAGTCCTTTTATAAGTGTTCTCCTAGCTGTTCATCTTTTCGATATTTTAAAACTAATGTGTTAATCAAGTGAGTTTATTTCATTTTAGTTATTTTATTTCATTTTGATTATTTTTAACTTTTACTCATCTTTTTACTTACTCAACTATTTATAGTTAAAACGATAGGAAGGGATTCTGGAACTCAAGAAAACATGCGCAGATGATCTGTCCCGTAGAGTTTTTGACTAAATAAATCTAAATCTAAACCACGATTGAATGTTTATACTCTAGCTGCAGCACTTACCGTAAAATCCAATATGAAGGATATTTCTTACTCCAAAATTTCCTATATATTATTAGAAATTATGTATTGACAAAAATATTATTTCAATGGAAATATACTCTTTAATTAAATCATTAAAAGGAATATAGGCATAGTTAGTGTAGTTTTGTTTGAATGAATAACATGCTACATTTATTTTTGTTGTACTTTTTTCTTACATCTTTTTCGTCCTCCTTTTCATTCTAAAAACATTGGTCACCTTCGCTATGGTACAACACAAAAAACAAACTTTTTTAAAAAAAAATGACTAAAGTAAAATAGCTTGAAATAAATTAACAACAAAAATCAAAAAGCGCTAGCTTACAAAACCACGCGAATTAATTAAAAATCATCCAAATTTAAAATTATATAAAGAATAGCGCAAGTCACTCGACAACTGCCAACGATCACAATCCAGTCGCACGATTTAAATGTTGGCGGTATCTGGAAGTCTGTACATCAGCAGAGAGTATATATATCATTATATATATTAATATATATATATATATAATATATATATATATATATATATATAGTACATCAGTGCCCAGCTGTAAACTATATTGTAAATAATAGAATCTTAAAGGTGCTGTGTTTTTCAGTGGTGATTGGTGTGATTGTTTGCTACAGGTCCAGGTGCTGAATAGGTTTTGGAACAGAACACAAGTTGTAAGATGTGGATCGAGAGAGTTTTGGGAGATTGGAGCATAGAGGTAGTAAGTAGATTGGAGGGTTGGCAGCTACGAAAGCATAGGTTGGGGTGGGAGTCGCAGAACTAGGAGACTAAGCTGAATTTGGATGAATAGGAGAAGGGGTTGGTGGAGGTGTAGAGATGGTGCTAGCAGTGAAGGAGCCCCTAGGATGTGTGTGGCTAGCTTGCATCCTAGAGCGTGCTTGCCTCACGTGGAGACTATGCCGGGTGAATAGAGTCTCTGAGAGAAGGTCTAAATTAAATAATGTAATTTGTGTGTCTTTCAGATTCTGTATGAGTGTGCTGTTTGCTTTTTTAATCTCGTTTGTAAACATCGTTTGAACAACATTCCCATGTGCCGAAGTGGTCTAAACCTACCGACTTTTTTTCCAATGGTAACAAATGGTATTTATTACTCAATGGTGAAAATATAGTTTTATTATTTTTTTGGTTCGGTATTGCTTTTCTTGAGGTTCCTAAGAACGCAGAAAATAATCCAATACTTTTTAGGACACAAATACGGTAATTTCTCAATTTTCGCACCCCAGCAAGCTGGAATCCTGCCCCTCCAACCCCCCCTCTGTTCCTCATAACAAATCCAAGGAAGTTAAATAATATTGCAAAGAGAAGGGTTGTACTTGCTCGAACATGTATTTTCGCGTGGAAAACTTTACTTGGCTTTCTCAAAAGTAAAAAATATTTTCTAATATTTTGTGAGTATCAAGGAAATCAAAAAGCTGTCAAGGAAGATTGAATAATTACTTCTTATAATTACTGTTTTTATTTACATTTATTTTTTGTTACATTTATAAATTTTTAAACAAATAAACACTTTTCATGAATAACATTTCATCTTAATGGAAAGGATAATGAAAGGGTGGGGGTTTAATATCTTAAACATGGTCCGTTAAGCAACAGCAACAAACAAGCGTGATGTAAAACGTGAAATGTAATGAGGGGAAAAAGAAACAATAAAATAAAAAAGCATTTGAAATAAACAGTACTTTTTTAATTCCCATAATTATCTTATTACACCATGTGTTGAAAATGTTCACCCGAATTTTGAATGTAGCGTTACCCTTTTACATTTATTATCAAAAATTATTTTAAAACTTTTTTGGGATTTGGACATTATATACAAAAATATTGAGTCATTTAATTACTCGTGACCTTGGGACAAGTACAGTAGACATTTCCTTTAACCGCTTCACAGAAAAAGAAATCAGGAGTGAGATCTGGTGATCTCGGCGGCCATAACCCTTTCGAAATTATATGTGTACTTATACATTCTTGGCTATCCGAGATGAGCCGCGTCTCGGTTAATTAGGCTGACGTTTCGACCATCTTGCTGTGGCCTCCTTCAGAGCTATACTGCAGAGCTACGTGTACTTTGTAAAAACGTTTTCCCCCGTTTTTTGTTGTAAAATCGTTTTTCCCCAAGGAAGTGTTTTAATTTTTTCTTGAAGTTGTAGAGGCGTGTCGTATTTCTCAGATGTATTGGTAATTTGTTGAAGAATTGTATACCTGAAGAGAACGTACTCTTTTGGTATAATGTGCTTGTACACATGGGTTGATGAAGGTTACATGCTTGCCTTGTGTTATAAGGGCACAATGAGTTAAATTTGTAAAGTGTGTTATTTGTAAAGCCCTGTTAACATGCAATCCTACAGGTTTAAGTGCACTTGTACCTACCTGTATGTTAACAAATTTAACATCCTTAGCAACGAGTTTTATCATCCTTCGCAACGTAAATAAGCAACCGTCGATTCATCGCAAATCAAATGTTTATTAACAAAAAACATGACCATGTATAAAAATAAAATTCAAACAATTCAGAATAAAAGTTACTCATTAGTTTGGGGGATAATTATTGTCAATAGTTCCGTAGTACAATTTAAAAAATGTATATTAGGTAAATTAACCTCACTCTCCTGGCATACCGACAAATGAAACTCTTCTCCGGTATCGGAAGGTGTCGTCGAAGCCAACGCGCTAACTTTCTTATCGAACATAATTTCTTTAGGCAGAGAGTATATACAGGTATCTGTAGATCCAGGAGAAATATTTGCATTTATCTTTTCTCGAAACACGGTATAGGAAATTGTTTAAATAGGTGTATCGCAAACAACACCTCACAATATTGTAGTAACGTGCCGCAGCAACAAAATTTATTTGTTTACTATCGCAGTTATGTCGGTAATTTTTGCATAAATCGTGAGATTATTATAGTGACCGATAAAATGCTGAACATACCGCGAAATGTTAGTGTTATTTCTGCCTCGTTCAAATTAAAAATCTCGGCTCCGCTTCGATTTTTAACTTTTGCCTTCTGCAGTAATAGCACCCAGAACATATCTAGGTACGTTAATAGCTATAATTTGCGGGTACTTAATTATTTCGATAAAAAACTAATAGAATAAAAAAATTTAAAAAAGAAAAATCGCTCCCAAAAAGAGACCTTGTGGACACAATTTTAGTAAACTATCTTGGCCGCTCCTAAAATTTTGCAGCCATAGGCACGTGCCTCGTGTGTCTAGGCGTAAATTCGCCCCTCAGTAGACGTAGAAACCGAGTTATATATTCTGATGTTTAGAAATAAAAAAGTAGTGTACGCTTGTTGTTTCGGGAATAACGGAAGATGATTTCCAATGATTCAATAATTAATCGAAATACTTAATACGCTTAATAGAAATACAAACCAGCCTTACGAAGTAAGCTACTGCATCTTAATAAGTACTAACTTATAAACTGCTATATCTTATAAATATTGTCCTATTTTGTAATTTTATTATTTGAAGTAATGTGTTCCAGTACAAAGCATCACGTCATTATTTAATTAAAATTTCTTCGGTTCAATAGATACAACACAATTTATATTTTTGTTCTTTATGTTTTACAGTTTAAAAACAAAGATGATATGCATTATTTACGTCTGAGCTAATCACGAAATGTTGCTGTCTTGCTGCATTGATAAATATGTTTTCGTTATGAAATGCAGCGCTTAATGTTTTCACCAAAAATTCATCCGAAGTAACATGAACATGGCGCATTTGAAAGAGGCGCGCTTTCCTCTACTTGCAAGTGCCTAGAAATGCCGTCGGATGCTGTTCGAAGTTGTGAGGGGTTGCGATTCGCCGTTCGAGGACAAGGTCAGGAGTAGTTTTTTGCGTGCAGTGGTGGCAGCAAAGAACACAGAGTATTATAAGTGGCAGTGAGTGAGGTGTGGTGAGTGCGATAGAAAATATGTGAGGCGGTGTCTAAAAATATAGGGCATGTGTGGTACTGACAATTTTGTAAACAATTTTCTTCACTCAGTGATTCAGAAATGGTTCGAGTAGTAGTAGCTGAAGAAAGTATTCTTCCTTATTTGAAGGGCTTGCAGTGTGGTGAAAACTATGAGATCGGTTTGATAATTGGTCAAGTACGTACGGTGGTTTGACATATGGATGTAATTTAATTAATATGCAAAAGAAGGGAGTGAGAGTTCATATTGTGTAGTTTACCACTTCTTTATCATTCCGTTAGAAAAGTAAAACTCATTCATATTTTTCAGAATACAGGGCAACGTGACTATGTCATACATTTGGCACGTACACCGCTTGCAGCTCCTATTACATCCAAAGAAAGTTCCGAAAACAAGCCTATAAATCGATATGCGATTATTAAAGCTCTCAGAGATATTGACGAGGCAGGAATTGCAGAGCACGCAAAACATGTAAGCACCACTATCAATATTTGCGAACTTATGACAGTCGTACCGAAAACTTCCCTCCTAGTGAGTACCATTTTTCTGGTTAATGATTCATATTATTTTATGTGCAGGTTACTCGAATGCTTCCAGGTGGAATGTTTGTTCTTGGTATATTTGTTGTTGGTCCAGGAGATATATTTGCAGATTCAAGTTCTGTTTCAAAGTTACGGTCTGTTCTTCTTCGAATTAAGAAAGTGTTGTTGAGCAACAAATTTCTACATGGAGATAGCCCGTGTGCAGAGAAATTAGTTTTGCACCTGTGTAGTACTACCCAAAGGTTTGTTGTATACACCTTATTGAGTATTTAAAGTAGATGTTATCTGCCTCTGTTCTTTGTTTTGTTATCGTTGGAAATTATTATTATTGGATATGATCTATATTGTTTAATTGAATTTGATCCCTTCAATAGGGATCCAAGTAATAACATGTGGTTGACATTTGTAATCTGCCACATCATTTCTCTGGAAATCATTAACTGCCATGATGATGTATGCATAAAATTGAGTTGTTAGTAATTTTGTACAAGGATCATTAACATTCTTACGTTAATATGACAAAAACTAAATTAGCCTTCCCAGTGAAAAATATTTAGTGTACCAATTTCAGAGTTTTATAATGCATGTTCAGACTGGAATACATGACTCTACATGTTTACAAGCTGTGCACCTTCATTTTAAGGTTCAAATGAAATATGGTTGACAGTTGAGTGTTGAGGAGGAGGAGGAGGATGATGATGTTGTGCACTAAACATTATCAGTGTATGAAATAAATAACCCAAACTGTATGATAATTAACATTATCGACAAAACTACCTGCATATGCTATTCACTATTCCTGATCGCACAACTTTCTTATACATTTATCCCAGTTAACTTCACTTTTGACATTTCTAATGTTGCACAGCTGATTAACAGTGACATTGAGTCATGATTCATTTGTTCTATTATTTGAGATTACATCACTGTGCAAATACCAGAGCTTCTGATTAGTTGTTGCTTAGGTTATTGTTCTGGTTCTACCAGGTGATGATGAAGTGTCAACCACCTTCTAATTTTATTCATAGTGTAAAGATGGTTGCCTCTTCCTGTTTTACATTATAAAATGAGATTGTATGGTAAACTTCATTGTTTTAAATATGTTTCAGGTATGTGTGCAAAATGCTTAACCCAGATAACAACATTGGAACTCCTTTACCTGTTGATTGGAAGTTTCAGTCACATCCAACAAAATGGCACCAGTTAGATTGTCAGTATGAATTGGACCACATTTTTCCGGTCATAACTGACAAAATAGCTCAACCTTTAAGGAAAAACTTACAGGTGAGTGTTTGTATTTCTTCAATAACTAATGAAACTATTATGATGATATTTATAATAACATTTAACATAAGTGCTCTGTTATACTAACATTTATTTGATTACATGAATAATGTGTGTAGGAAATTCTCGCTGCAATGGATGAACAAGTTCAGACAGCAGTATGTGTCTTGGATGGGGAAATGAGAGACTCATCTGAGACTATTGAATCAATGGGAAAGAAGAGGAAAGGAAAAAATTCCAAGACAGCTATTGAAGAAGCAAAAGTAGTGAATGCCAGTTTATACATTCCCTGTGTAAGATTTACATTTGTTCATATTATAAGACAATTAAGATTAAAGAAGAAAATGTAATGCACCCATAGAGAAAAGTAAATGGAGGGGAACGAGAATGAGAGATGAGGGAGTCTGTGTCTTGTCATGTACTCATAAAATTGCTAAAAACATTCACCTATCGTGCACTTGAGTATTTGAAGACATTTCCAATAAACTAGCAAGTTTCTTTGTGCAATATTAAGTTGAGGAAGAGTCTTAGACCTTAAGCCTTTGTGATTAATCTAAAATCTTTTGGTCTGTACAGAATTACCAATGCATTTTATGCGAAAATACTTTTAGGAGAACACGCCTCACAAGTCCTTTGAATAGTATATCTTTTATTTGTTTCAAGAAAGCACTCTTTTGTCACTTGTGGTAAATATATTTGCATCCTTCTTATGATTTCAAAACATTTCATTAAATAAACATTTGTTTAAAATTTCCATATCTCTACAAAATGAACATATTCATGAATGGCAAATACAACCCTACCTCTAATTAAAAGCTTCCCTCAAAATTTCACAACTTTCTCTCCACCATTGGATTCCCTTTTAGGTGAGAGGCATGATCTGCTGGTTTAAGTGACTTCCTGAAGTTGTACAAAGTAAGCCCACCAATCAGCAATTTATTATTTTTATGCTACAACAAATTTTGTTGTGACAATATCTTGCAGCACCGCCCACTATGCTGCAAAAGTAAGCAATATGTTTGATTCTCTGACGTCTTAACCCATTTCTTCCCAAGCATTGAAATACCTACATTTTTTTAAACGTCTGATTGTAATATTAATAAATCATCCCCAAAGAGTGTAAATATATGCACCAAATATTTTTGCGAATTTTGGTTGTGCCGAAGTGGACCATTGCGTTCACGCAACATTGGGAGTCCTCCGGTAAGAAAATGAGTCAGATCAACATTCTAAAAAATATATTTTCTCAATGTAATACACAATAAAAACCCTACCATATATTGAAAATAATTTTTTTCATGATATTATGAGAAACCTTCATTATGCAAATGAACTTGACACTTTTTACAATTATAGATAGTTTGACTTTTGCAAATTGTATATCTGCGTGCGCATTAGATACATCACTAATTATTACGTGACCAACAAGGTCTTTCTTTATGGCTTCAGGCAAACTTTTCTTCGTACAACGCCCCAGATTGAAATTCTTAATTCTATTTACTTCTTCACTTCGGAGAAGGGTGAGTAGAATTTCTGATCTGAAATCAATTTGACTTGTTTTTGCTCCAGTTGCTAAGGTGTACAATTTCCAGGCATTTACAATAGCACTACCTATACCATTTGTAAAAAGGGGCCACCACCATTTTTGCCTCTTCTTCGTATCCTATAATTTGCAATAGCATTGTCATGCAAATCTACACTGCTCATTCCCTGATTGCACTGATATATAGTATTGGGCTGTTGAAGCATTTCATGTTTTTTTCTGTACAGTTATAACGTTTCGTATTCACAAGAGGTTCCAAAGTACGGACATTTGTTGCCCTTGTGACAACTGAATTGTCATGCCTTCCAAATAAGAAAATATTGTTTTCTTTGTCCATCATGTAGTCATATGTTCCTTTACTTATAATAATCTCTTATGAAACGAAAATAATATTATTATAAGTGCAATTTTTAATTGTTTTCCTTGTTGCACAGTGAACACTTTATATAGTTGTTTCTTGTAAATCCACAAAAAAAGAGATTTAGTCTCGAGCATTTTATCACAATAGAGAAAAAATGTGTGAATGCTTCACATCTCCGAAAACACACACACTACTGCCTCAAAGCAAAAGAGAAACTTTCATAGACGATCCTCTTGTTTTCAATTCCCAGAAGAGTCCACAAATAGATTGGACACGTTCTTATCTTAAAATTTCAGTGACAGAAACTTCTAACACTGCAGAATATCGCTGTCAAATTCTCTCAGATACCAAGTGCGAAAAAGCATCACCGGTCTACTGGAAAACTCCCAATGTTGCGATTACGATATTTATTTATGATACACATTACGATAGTTAATTACCTACAACATCCGTTTCAATTATCACTTCTCATTCAAACTTTTATATAACATATATTCATACATATATTCTTTTATATAACATATACTTCCCACTATCATTATAAACTGCTTCACAGTTCATCAATTTTAAAAGAAAAAATTAGTAACCTCATGTAGTAAATTACACTGCACAACCCGAAGAAAAAAATTAATAAGTCAGTACAAATATATTGTTTACTAAAATAAAAATATATTTATGAATTGAATGTATGGTGTAAAAATTCACAAATGCAATGTTAAAATAGTACCGTAGGAAGAAAATAATGAACCTAGCGTTGCGTTCACGCAACGTTGGGAAGAAACGGGTTAATGAGGAAAAACAGGATATTAGAAGTAATTGTGTGATAAGCCTGTTTGACATGTTTTACTCAAAAAAAGCTTTTTGTTTCGAGGTCATTGAGGGACTGTGTGGAACACACACTATAAAACTCTATTGAGTAATTTAGTACAATGAAGATCACTTCAGCAAATATATTTTTTTGGCTCAAACTGACTTAAGCAGGGTCACTCTGTTTGATGAAACTGTTGGAAAGAGGGAGGCGGTGCAGAGAAGGCATTTTATTGGAAGTGGACCTCATACTTGCAGTGTTTCCAATCTGTCAAATTCAGTGATCAAGATTACATCGTAGGTCATGCAATGTGACAGTTTTTGAGTCCTGATTTGTACCTTGTTGACACATCTGTGCCTGTAATCAAGATTGAAATAGTTTAACATGTTTGTGTAGCTGTCATAGTTTTTAGAATGAAGGTTTCTTTTGCATTAGGAATTTTTTTTTTCTTTACAAAACAACTTTCTATTACATGTAATATTTGTGAATTATCTTCCGAGCAAATGGTAAAGATGTTATTTGCCATTGGTGTTATTACTTTTTGGGATTGTTTTTTAAAAATTTTTTTTTTTGTAAATATTGGTGAGATGATATTATTTTAAAGATTTCTCTTCTGTTATTGTGGTTGTCATTGTAAAG